TCTACCATTGATTGTTCAGTTTCTGCAACTGCTCTGTCTGTACTTCCACGATTTGCCATAGTCACGTGGGCTCCTTATAATCCTGGCGATACAGACGACAAATTCCTCCATCTGGCGTGAAACACGCTGCTATTTTTTACGCGTCTCTTTGACAAATTTGATGTTTCCTAACTTTTGCTTCCTTGATGATACCTTGTCGGTATTTGGATACTACACTTATGTTCTTACAATGAATTCCTCACCCCACTATGAAAGAAGAAGGAAGGGTACATTCTTCCCTGTTTCTGCGGGCACCAACTAGACACGCTATCTTGAAGGGAAGAAGAAGGAAGAAGGCAACAATGGAGGCAAGTAAAAAACCGAGATAAAAGACATCCGTACTTTTGATCTGGAGTTCCGCCGAGTCCGTTTGGAATGTGGAATACTCCTATAGCAAACCTTCAGGGCTCTTTAAGCCCGTTTTGTCTCGGAGTGAGCATTACTGACGCCCAGTGGACTCTGTGTTTTGAATGTTCGTGACGGCTCACGGTGAGGTATGAGCCACTGCATCCTGTACGGCCTGAGGTGAACAATCGAGCGTCTCGAAAACGGGTATAGAGCAGAGTTTCCCGCACCAACACGGTAGGATTTACCATCTTGGCCTGGAAGCTCCGTACCGTAGCCGTCAAGCCTCCCAATCGTGCAGAGGACGAACTTTTAGGCACTTGAAGCTGTCCCTTCACTTACCGAGGTTAAAAGTTTTGCAGTACCACTAACCTCATTCTCTGATGGTAAATAACTAATACTCTTGAGGTGAATCTAAATCTGGACCTGGTACGTCAGCTTACAGCTCACTGCCCTGACTAAAGCATCTTGCCACTTTCGCAACATTCAGGTCGGTGTGCTGGTAATGCATGTCCCATCAAGGCCACTAATCACGTAGCAAATATGCGAAGACTTCAGTTTTTAACGCGGAGAGGTCATCACTAAGGTGTGACGTGTGAGTGCGTCCCAGTTGGTGAGTGGTGAAGTCTGCTGGAGGTTGAGGCTAAGTCAGGGATAACGTCTGAGTCTGGGGCTGAAAGAGCCCAGATCTGCTGCCGGGATAGTTGGAATCTGAGTCTAGTTAGTCGTACCTACTTATAATAGTGAATTCACCTTGAGCTTGAAGTGACGATTGGAGTGCTTCACGTCCACTCTGCGCCAATCAGAAGTTGGATGGAAGCGAGTAATGCCGCGTTCCTCCATAATATTTGGGGAAAAAATTGCTTGCAATGACGAAAAGGTTTTATGAATTAAAAGTGAACGTTTTTCTGGGGTCGCAGACATCCTCAGATGTTAAGAATCAGTTATGGACTTAACCTCTCACAGACAACCGCACTGGTGCTGGAGGTCTCGATTGAATTTATAAACGGTGGAACTGCAGCCCCACATTTCTTCAAAGGGACTTCATTCATCCATGGTCCGCCTATTCATCTTTGCTATATTCAGGATGCATCCATTCATCTACTACAGACTGGTTCATCTCTCATTTCAGGTCCATCCATTCTTCCATATTTTGGACTGCTTCTAGTATCCATTCACCAATCCATCCATCTATCCATCCTACCGTCCATAATTCGCATCCCCAGATTTCGTGTTTATCCATCCATCCATCTATCTATCTTGTATCTTGCATCCATCTGCCAATTTATTTATTCACTCACCCATCTATCAGCTGCTGCTGCTACTGATTCGGTGGTTGTCAATACTTCTAAGAGGAGACATAGAAGGTAAGTGAGTCGATGTAAGTGTAACCTTGCTTACATCAGTAAGGTCTGTCAGCATCCTGCACTGGTTCTGCGTAAATATTTTACTGCTGGGAGTCCAATTTGGCTTAAGTGATGCTAATTGCTGATAAATCCTCTTTCTCCTCCTTCTGCTCCTTTCTTCCCACCACCCTCATCTGTTTACTTTGCTGCCTAAGCTAGGGAAATTTTAGATTCCACATTAAGGTTTAACAAGTTTGTTGTATTGTCTGTTATAATGTAGTCGGTTTACTCCATCCACACAATACATGACTAGAGTATGAAGCCGAAACTGTCAGCCTGCGCGAGGCTGGGCCTGGACAGATTGTGCATTCCAACCTAGGGTTCCCACAGTTCTATCCCGTATCATGTAAGCCGCACATAAAGGCAGAAACAACGGCTTATTTAGAGACGCTGATGTCCGGCGTCCGGGTCGCAAGTGTGCTTCAACATCAGATGCAACGACGAAGCCATCAAACTATGCGCGACACATACACCAACGGAATACGATGAACCACTTCATAAGTTTTTTGTACGATGAATATTCACCCTCTCACAGCTACAGAGGTCTAACACCTTGTCTGCCAAAAAGAGGACAGGAGGAGAGTGTTAGAAACCCAACTCGCATTCCCAACCATCTCGACTAACATGGCGGCATTTGTAATATTTCCAACGTCCCACCGTCCTCTGAGCCCACACTTTGCACAGCTGCCTCCACCTCCAGATTCACCTATTCACGGATTCCTTTCCATCCAGGGGAGTCGGTTCATCTTACTGGCATGCACACATGTTCCACATGTGACTCCATCGTTCAACTAGACGTAACATCATGGCAAATTTGTCAAGTGACAAGGAATAAAATTAGCTGCTACGCCAGATGCCGTTAAGAGGAGCATACGAGAATCATGCTCAACAGACAAACTTCAAGGATGCAACAGGTGGAGAAATCTTCCTTTCCTCTGAACGATGAAGGAATTTTTGTTCTGTAAATAAAGGTAGCCACAGGAAGGTTTTATGCCATATTTGAGGAAGGGACTAAACCTCTCCTCGCCTTGATGTAAACCTACTCCTCAAATAGTGACTCAGGAACCTGTGGGCTACAACGACGTTGGAATCCAAATGACGGACGGAGGGCACCAAAGAAGTCACAACTTAACGGCGAGGGCTCTTTTATCCCTCATAAAAATTCCAGATGCCTGCTTTGTCAATTTTTTTAAAGAGAAAACGTAGGGGCGAACAGACAGGTGGACAAAAGTAACGTTGAATTAGCAGGACTACAAAATTCATCCACAGTGGCACCTCAAAAAGACACTGATAAACTTTTCCTCAATTTACTTTGACATGTGGTTGCAAGATAGGCACTTTAGTTAAAAGTAGTCGAAGATTTAACCAACCACATCTTGAGAAGAGGAAAGACCCTGATGCACCTCAAGAAAGGAGAATGATTGCAATCACGCCAAGGTAGAGAAGGTGCGGAGAGAGTATTGTTGATTCAGAGGTCCTTCCTGCCTCCTTGTCTTCTTCCTCCACACCTTTTTCGTTTTCAGCTTCTTCCATTTCAGCACCATTAACAACAAAATGCGGCTGTGAGTTCATACTTGACTTCACTGTCTCAACAGTGATTTCCATCGATGCAATCAATTTAGGGGCCTCTTCTGCCTCCTCCTTTTCGTCTTTTCCCTCTTCAGCTCCTTCATCTTCTTCCTCGATTGGAAGATCTGTAGGGTAATTCGACACGTGCATTGCCTTCAAAGGGTTTGTTGATGCAGAAGGAGGAGGCTTTGAGCTCGTATCTGACTTCGCCACCACAGTAGTGCTCCTTTTCGGTGTTGTTGATGTCGCCGTCGCCGTCATGGTGACGGCAGTAGTAATTGTAGGTCCAGCTGTTTGTTGAATGGGCTCTTTTTGGCCTCTAAAAAAGGAAAAATAATTTTACCACCTCTGTATGACCCTCCAGATGTGTAAGGTGACAATTTACTTATTCAGCCTGGTATAGACACACGGAGAGGTTGGCGGGCACTTGAGTTTGTATCCACGGAACACATACTTTGATCGCACAGCCAAAGTTGGTATTGTTTGGTTGCACCACCTACATAGAGAAGGCGAGGTGGTAGGAGACATGTGGAAGAGTTAAGATGCTTGAATAGCGGGAACGTACTTGCCTAAAATGCTCACAGGGGGAGGCAGTGCATTCCCCTGTAGCTGGATTGTAGTTCCGTCTCCCACTTGACATGTGGTACCTCCACTTATCCACCAAGGAGTCGAAGAGAGGTGTTGCGATCACAGTACTTCCCAGATTGGCGAATCTGGGATCTGTCGGAGGAGCCTTTTTGCATGCGTCCACCCACTGCTCCGCAAGCCTCTCCAAGTCTTTAGAATAGTTCTGGGTGAAAAGTGGAAGAAAAGCTTAATTAGTGTCATATTGACGCTACTGCCGTTTTGACTGTAGATTAAGCCTTTCAGAAAAGTGGCAAAGTGACAATTCTTTTAAAATTTTGGAGTTGCGTGACCTGCTGAAAGTGGAAAAGCGCAAAAGAAAAAGGGAATGACAAATTCCAAAAGCAGCGATAAGATGCAACATGAGGCAATTTACTCACTAGAGGAGCCAATATCCTGCCAGAAAAAGTAAAGTTGCCATGAGTAGATTCATGAATCTCAATCAGGGCAGCCTTCGCCTCCTCTGTCTGCTTGTTAGCGCATGCATATGACAGAAGAGCCAGAAAGAAAATAAGAAATTTCATGACTTTGGTTACCTCAAAGACCTACTGTTCCAATTGCCTTAATATAGGAGCAAGGTTAGTGTTCTCTACTTCCCCTTATGTAGGGTGAGCCCACCTTGACACCGATAAATGCACAATCAATTAAGTGATTTGTGTCGCGAAGTGCGCAACATTTTGGCAGCAATCGTACAAATGTGCTGTTTGACAGGTAACCTCCTCCCTGCCTTCTGTGTACCCGCATGGTTGGAAGGGGTGCAAATCATACGTACACACTTACATTGTATCTAAATCGGCTATAAAAATAGCATGCGCATCTCTAGAGGTTGACATGAAATTTCGCCTCAACTTGACAATAGAAATACTGCTTAGGCATTTAAATACGATGAAAAACGCCATCGGTTACACTGAACAACTCCATAAATAAATTGCTGCCTAATTACAGTTCATACTTTTTTGATTACCTAAAGAAGTGCGTTTTTGATCCAAAAATTGGCCATGATTTTGGGTGGTGTGGTAAGTTGCGCAAATCCACGCTCAAACCTCCGAAGACGCAGGATGTAAAGCGCCTTTTTGCTTTCAAATCGCTAAATAAGGCTTAATTCGGTCGTTTAAATCTCTCCACCACTTGTGATAATGAAAAAGCTCGCAGACAGCTGGCTGCACATCTGTTACTTTAATCTGCTAGTATTCGTAAATTAAAGAACTTTTGAAGCAGCATATTTAAGGGCTGAAGATACACCTGAAAATTGCTAATTTATGCTGCTAAATATGGAACCCTTTATTCTTATATTTTAACTTTGGATTAAATTGTTTTATATAATGCAGAACATGGAAACCAGGTCGTCTATGTCCGACCGGGCCATTAAAATATACTGCATCACTTTGTGCACAAAAGGTTTCGTACTTCATGGTACGTTAAATAAATACGAGGGCATTTTTAAGAGGTGTATGGTTTTCTCTTTGTGACCAATGAATAGCTGATGAGCATAGCAATAGAATCCTTGGTATTTTTTTGCTCTAGCCCGGTTTCAGCCTGCTAGATGGAGTAGACTTACCACCTTTTAGCAGACATTATGAATTGTAACAATTTGTGACTAATACGGCTGGTCTAGATTTTTCGGAGAATTAAACTTTACCTCCCCTTTTGTCGCTTCCGAAGCAACAGCGGTAGTTTGTTAATGGGATCGGTCGCTTGGCCATTCGCCATTCCCTAATGCCTTTTAAATGGATCTTTTGTAATTGATCATACAATAAACAACTTCTCTGTGTACAGGCGCTTTTAGTGCTCTTTGAATAATGTTAGTGGGTGGCAGTAAGGTATGAAAATGTCAAAGAAGTGCGCAAATATCTTTTGACCCACCGTCAGGAGTTTCGGCAAATCCGGCAAAAGGCTGGGCTGTCATGGAGTTGCGAAAAGACAGCGGAAGAAAGTAATGTGACGGTGTAAGAGTCTTTCTTCATTTATCTCCATAAGGAGCAATAAAGTGAGGAATAAGAGGGAATGGCTACGAGGTTTTACAGAAGGCTGTAGTGAGATGGTGGTTAGAAACAAAACAGGAGGTGTCAGTTCGCCTCTTTTTTTTCCTTTGCTAAAAATTATTTAACTAAAGCTGGGTACTTCTCTGGGTTATAATCACTTAAAATGTTCTGTTTCTGCGGCATTTGATGTTTTTAGTTCAAATATTTTCCGTGGGATAATGAAGGAAAATCTCAGGTAGGTGTGTTTTTGCTTTAGATTATGGCTACATATACAAGGACGGTTTCGCATTGCCGTCAAACCTCAACCCCTCCTCCACTGTTTTGTACTGAAAAGTACGTTTTTGGCCTTTAATATCTGTTGGTGCGGAACCCGAGAGAAGAACACTGGACTTCGCTAACTCACTTCCATAAGGATTTTGGAGTAGTAAACTAACAGTACTTGGTTTATTGTTTGGCGAAAAGTACTCGCATTCCTTGTCAGCTACTTCAGGTGATGTGCTGGCGGCTCGAATTGGGGAAATAGCTCTGTTATTTGCAGAAACGGGCCAATCAGTTTGACCAAGACCGCCATAGTTTTCATGTCACCTTTAATAACTGAGAGTCGTTCACCAAATTTAACGTCGAGCTGCAGCTGTTGGTGTCGTGGTTCACACAAAGGCTGCTACGTGCTCCACTGATACAGCCTTGAGTGTAACTACGTAGGCACTTTAGCCTGGGGGGGCTGTACTTTCGTTCAGCTGGTAGTTGAAGGCATGGGGCTCCTGAATTTTCCAGACAAAAGGTCTTATTAAGGCAAATCACGTAATTTATTCCACTAAGGACTATTAATGGCACAACTAGGAAAAAAAGGAGAGTTAGCAAAGCATTGAGATGAACATTGGAAATACATAGTCTCCGTAAGGGTGCGGATAACCATGCTCAAAGCTGAAGGAGGACGCAACGAGTCTACAACTTCATGCGAAACGTGACTTGAGCATACCAGTTATCCAGTGCATAAAGGCCATTAAATTTAAAATAAGCACATAGGGCATCTGTAAGATAGTAAAATGGTCCTTCATCTAGCAGGAAGCTGAGAATTTTTATCAAACGAAGCGATGTAGGACGGACTAGTCACCAAAATGGAACGGCGCAAAGGAAGATAGTTACTCAAGACATGCTGCATCACCTTATTAAAAGCAACAAAACATGCCTAGACTATACGTAAAAAGGTGAGAATTTCATTGCTGCCAATTTAAGCACTTAAAGGTGGTGAAATGGTTTTCAAAGATCAACGAAAATGCCTGAAGGCTTGAGTTGGAATGAATTGAGACCTATAGTACGCAAAAGCAAAAAGGCAAAAAAAAACAACTGCACAAAAAGGAGATCAATTTTAATCCAGGTAAAAATGTAAACATTTTTTCCGAAGCGAATTTCACTACAACAATATTGCGCCATTGGCTAAAAGATGTAATACTACGACATCCATAAAAATGGACTTTACGGTGTTTTTAAAGCAAAAAGGCCTACAAATGAAATCAGCTTTGTTTAAGTTACTTGTCTATTTGTCGCTACTTTAGAATAATCCTGGCACCTGCTTTGCGGTTTGTGCAAACATGTGTGAAGAAAAAACCCGTTACTCACTGGTTGTTCAAAACTTACAGGTACTTAATCTTGTTTTTATTAACTTACTTATCAGAAGAAGGGATACTCGCTTTGTTTCTATGTATAACACAACAAGTTGTTTCGGTTTAAACTAAACAGATTTTTATACTTCCTTCCAAAACTAGGAGGTAGTTGGAGATGCAGAGTTACGTACGATTCTTCAAAACAGTGACGGGAAGGTGCTCGAGGTTTACTGGGGTACTGCAACCACTGGTAAACCACACGTGGCTTACTTTGTGCCTATTTGCAAAATCGCCGACATGTTGCACGCCGGTGTCAAGGTCACCGTACTCTTTGCTGACCTCCACGCCTACCTGGATAACATGAAGTCACCCTGGAGCATCCTCTGTCACCGAGCCACCTACTATGAGACTGTTATTAAGGCCATGCTCGAATCTGTTGGCGTGAGACTCGACCAACTTCATTTCGTTCGCGGTTCGGATTATGAACTGTCTAGGTGATTGTACCTCCTGTTTTTTTATTTGTTTTACCATAATTTTACCTTGATAAATAGTTTGAACTATTGTTATTCGAATTATTATAGGCAGTAGAGCTGAGACAATTAAATATACCATAGTTTTCTCATTTCAAACGCAGCATGGACTTTATCTGAAGCTTGTAAAATTTTGCCAAATTCTTTATTCCCATTCTCATGCCTATCCGTTGTATCTCATCTCCTCTTTTTGGTCGTTTTGGGTCGCATTTTATGTCCTGTGGTTGAGTTTGCTTAGTTCCTAAGCATTCCGTTTGCTCTGAGCTGATAAAATGCTTTAAGATGAGCGCTTTATCCTAAATATTGCCTCAATCAACGTCGCAACGTCCAGCTCTCTGGATTGCGCCCATTTCTCTTCCTAGTTTTTGCCGCCTTTATCTCCTTTTGCCTCCTGGTTGCTTCTACCAAGCCGCTATCATTTGACCTCTTCATGTACTGATTTAGTCTTCTCTATTTATACGCTCCCGGGCTTCCCCCACTTTTTTAACTTAACTTTATGGATTGTTAGCCAAAAGGCCTTGTTTTCTTATTTTGTTTGGAGTTTTGATTCTCCAAATATTTGCTTTTCCCGTTTCATCCATTTTGGATCACTTTCATCCCTTTTTAAGGTTATTTTAACTCCTACTTGCCTCGGTTGCTGTGTTCTCTCTGTGTTACTAAATATGTTAATTTTTGTTCAGGATTTCGATTCTTCTATTCCCCTTGTGTTGCCCGTTGTTTATTAACTTTGTTCCACTTTGTCTACCTTACTTGCCCACTTATAATCTCTTTTTTACACCTAATGTCAATTCATTGTCATACCTTTTCATTGTCTTACCTTTTTCTGCATTGTCTGCTACTTTAACATGGAGGGTCATCTTTGATCCTTTTGTCATAAGTAGGTTTTCTTGAAACGTCACGATATCTCTTTTTCATCTGACAGATTCTGTTACTAACTTCACTTTAACCAACTACGAAAATGCTCTTTTAAAATGCGTACTTCATTTCGGTTTCTTTATTCTCCTCTTTTGTTGTTTGCTCCAACTCAGTTGTTCGCTCAGCATAATGACACATACTGGGCGTTGGTAGATGGACAGGGCGATCCTTATTCTTCACTTTCTCAAAACTAACAAAGGTCAATTAAAGGCCTCAGGTACCTATTTCTTTATTTGTGAGAACCTTCATTTGCGATGCAGGGCTGGCTCTCTACCTCATGTCTCAATATGGCAAATTTTAAGCTTGTCTTTAGTTCCTTGCGCCTATCATTTATCAAACTTTCTTTGTAATTTTGAAGCATTACACAGTCAAATGTTGTGGATGGATTGTTGTTTTGTTTTTCTCAAACAGACTGTTGAGCCACTTAATCAAAATTTGATTTTACCTGGCTTTCTCTGTCAATTTTTTCGCCTTTTTTGTCAGCAAATATTATTCTCCGTACCCTGATACATGGTTTCCTCAGTTAATAAGCTTTGCAACTGCTTTCAGTCTGTTTAAAACTGGAAGATTTGCATTCGATGGAGCGTTTTATCGCAGCTGTTGGTAGGACTTTTGTCAAGTCCACGCAATGGCCGATGAGACTCTGAAGGATGACTTTTGTTCTAATTCGATGCCTTAAAATTTGTCTCTATCTCCACGGGAGAAATAGCTCCCTTTCCCCCTCGCAGTCCGTCATCTTCAAATGGTTTTTGATTACCAGCTCTTCGGCCATCCTTCCACTATTTTGCTGCAGTTTCGGCACCTCGTCAATTTTTGTTGATCAAATCTACGCTTTAGTTGTCGCCTCATGGCTTGTTTTCCCCTACAACTGCCCTTCCACCCCCAACCAACCGATCGTTTGCTAAGTCCTTTAGAATAGTCATCGAAAATCTCCCCCTTTGTTTCCGGATTTATCTTATTACATACCAGAAGATTTACAAATGAACTTATTTAGCTCAAACAGCCGATAATCGGCGGATGACTTCGAGTAAATTCTTTCTTTCTGTCTTCAAATCTGTTGGCTTGTGTTTTAGCAGCCAATGTTACCTTTATGTTTATTCCCTTCTTCCTTTGCTTACATTGGATTTAAAATCACTGTTTGGCCGTGAGGTTACATCAGTCCGGCGCTTTTAACGTTATTTACGTCTTTCCACTTCGATTGAGCCCGCCATCAGTAGCCCTTGTGATAAAACACTGGGAGAGTGCTTTTGTAGGTTGATTACACTCTTGCTCTTTTCTCAAGTTCACTTTTTGTTTGGCCTACTTGTTCCCTATATCATTTCCTCCTCGATGTGGCGGGGGCTCACTTATTAGGTGTCGATTGGTTGTTGTCACTCCACCCTTATTTTTTTTAATAAAAATTACGTTTACTTCTTTGGCCCCTTTGCAACTACATTTTTAACTCACTTTTGCCAGCCATTGTGAAATGTTGGGAAAGTAATGGATAAATTTGCTTCGCAAACTGATCACTTCATAGACCGCTGCTATGCTTCATCACCCCTGTCTTCTTTGAAGTGGGTGACCTCGCAGGAAGCACGTTTTCTATCACTTTACAATTCATCAGTCTTCAGGTGCCTCTCATTTTTTCTCCCCCCCTTCCCCCACTTTCGGGGGATAATTCGACTAATTTATGAGAAATTTCCAGGGGAAGAGGAGATTGATGACTTTGTAATGTGTGAAGTCTTGATCAAGCATACCGGCGGCCTTTCCCTGTGCCGAGCTTCAGATCTGATCCATCCGGCTGGTTTGGTTCTCACGTGCGTCGGTTGCTCTTTACGTGGTCTGTTTTGGTCATCAGCTTGCTATTTTACGTGCACCAGGACGTTTACCCCAAGTAATGGCTTTCGGAACCGCTTTTGCTTTGATTGGTTGTACCAATTCGCGGGTCTCTTGAGTTGCCGGAAAAGAGGACGCTTGATTCCCCCTTGGTTCCTTGTCCGTGGGCTGTCAACCTGGCTGTGATGTAACCTTCCTTTCCAGCTCTTGAGTTAAAGACGAGGTATGAAAAGACTGACAGGTGGCTTTGTTGGGTCAATTTGTCCCCTTAACATTCGCCTTCGTTTTATTTGCCCTCTTCACATTCCCTCCCACGGTGGCCAATCTCCATCCTCCTCCTTCGGGTCTTTATATGCTCTAGATGCCGTAGGTTTCTCCTCATTTGGTTGCTTCTACGAAGCCACTGCTGGCTGGTTTAGTTTTTTCGGCTCCAGAGGTGGTTAAGTCCGTTTTTTTCAAACTTCAGTTCACCATCCTCGCAATTTTCTGTACAAATTTAAGCTTCAGCATGCATTATCCTAGCGGTCGACCTTTACTAAAGACCTTGGAATCTGAAGGATTGTTTAGATCCTTCACATTTTTTACACTAAATTCCGCTTTACCAACAATTCTGATCCGCCTTTGTAGTCGTCAAATGTTTGCTTGGTGCCTATGGCTCGATGGGTGAAGTTATCTCCCCATTCCGTTGCCTTCTGTAGGGCTTCGAAGCCTGTCATGAGTAATATTTAAAATCTTCTGTCAAATTCCCCTCTTTTGATCAGTACCTCTTGAAATTCTGTTTCCTCAGCGTATTTTGTAGTGAAAGGAGGGGGAGAGGTTGTCTCACCATCAAAAATCCCGGCGTTTGTGCTGTAAGTGCAGAGCCCACATCGGGCAAAGTTCCTTTATTCAAGCAAGCAAGTAATTTTACGCCTGGAATAGCTCATGTTCCTTCCATTTGGAAGAGGACATGAAGATGTAAAAGTAGGCAATGTTGAAAGCGAGGCAAGAAGAGAAAGAGAAGTTTTATGCAGTGAGACTCCACTTACCTACAGAAGTGAAGTAATAACAGCACTTCTGACTATCTTTGACCCTTTTCTTATCCTTTGGGGACGCGCTAAGCCCCTACCCAGGATTTGGTACATCGTCCGTCCTGATACTACTTATGTCAGCAGTAGTAGGGATAAGTAGTTCTTGTCTCGTCCTGGTGAAACACAAACTTCTCGATGGAGATGTTTTTACGGCACCATTGGCGTCAGTAGTGGCACTGGTTATTCTTTGTCTTTTTCTGAAAGAGTGGGGGGAACTCGTTAAATCTTACGTACCTATGCTACCATGGTCCTGAGTCGTTTATTTTCCTTAACTTTGTGGCCCCGGGGATTGATGTGCAGAGCCTACAGTGAGGACGTCTATCGCATTTCGGCGGACACCAGCGTGCGCGACGCTCGGAAGGCGGGGGCTGAAGTGGTAAAGCAGGTGGCCAATCCCCTGGTCTCCGGTCTCCTCTACCCCTTGCTGCAGGCCCTGGACGAGGAGTACCTCCATGTAGACGCTCAATTCGGTGGGGTGGATCAGCGCAAAATCTTCGTCATGGCCGAACGGGTATGTAGGCAGACTGACATAGCGTGGCACTGAAACTTGGTCGACTTAGTTGCCACCGTGATAGGTGGATCAATTAACAGATAAGCAGAGATTCAAAGCATCGCCTAATCGAGGGTGCGGTGTCTACAATTGTTTAGTAGAGATTTGCTGAATCGACGAACGTAATGATTTACAGTGACTTTTTCCCTTAACAATAACATATTAATTGGTTCGGTAAATGATTTACCAAACGGACGCCTAAACTACCAAACGGCTTAGTTGACGTCTTTCTCACCCTTTCGTTCATCTGCACAGATCCTACCACGGCTGGGCTACCGTAAGCGCATCCATCTCATGAACCCCATGGTGCCCGGTCTCACTGGAGACAAGATGTCCGCCTCTGAAGCCGCCTCCAAGATAGACCTCCTCGAGAGCAGTGCTAGCGTTCACGCCAAACTCGCCACCGCTGCTTGTCCACCCGGTCAACGCGCCGCCGAGGGCAACGGTGTCCTCGCCTTCATTAAATTTGTCATCTTCCCTCTCGTCAACCTAGCCGCATCCGGTTCTGGTGCGTTGAATGCCCTACCAGTCGTCCACCTTTTAAACAGTGCGTCCTCATTTATCTATCCTGTATCCATCCAGTGCGGTAGTTTGGTGTAGTGTGGTGTTAGGTTTTGCTTTGAGACGGACCCTAGTGGCGAATGCCCTAATGCATTCTTTCCCCCCATTACCATAGGCGTGAAGGTAGGAGAAACGCACTTTGCTACCTTCGAGGAGCTGGAAGATGCCTACGTGGCAGGCGTGGCAGGGGTGTCTCCAGAGACTCTGAGGGCGTGCATCTTTGACCATCTAGATCCACGCATAGAGGTGGTTCGTCAAAGATTTACGGAACCGCGGTTTTCTAAGCTACTGAGTGATGCATATCCCGCTGATGAGGCCATGTGTGCCGAGAAGCACGCTTCAGGTGGGGCAAATTTTCATTTATTTTGTCCTTTGAGTGAATTACTCAAGTCTTTAGCCTTTTTTTTCGGTCTCTGGTTTGGGGTGTACGTCCCTTGTTGGCAAGAAACTCTACTTGTTGCCAAGCCCTATCCCATTCACTTACTGCCATTGTTCCTTACCACTTTGAGTAACGACACCTAGGCTGCACTGGTCCACTATTTCGGTGAAATGGAGAGTCCCTGTTTGACGGGAACACTCCTTGTACCAAGAGCCGATAGCTGGAATCGGACACCTTTATAATCCTGCAGTATGAATGTTGTAGCACGGTCGGTTGAACCACCGCGTAATGATGTGTCAGATCCAAGCACCTCCATTCAACTGTCTCTCTTTCTCCAGAATCCGCTGGTTCTTCACTCACCGCCACATTTAAAGATGACCGCCTAACCGCTCTCAAGAGTTGTCTCTTCTCAACTGAATCCCAACTGCCTTCACTGGATGCTACCTCCATGCGGTCCGTTGCAGACATCCTGACGCTCAGGCCTGAGGCTCTAAAGTCTTTGAAGCCCCGACGAGTGCTCCGGTGTATGTGGTCTATCGCTCCTGCTGGAGTGCCGCATCTGGGCCACACGTTGCCTCTGCGAATACTTGCCCAACTTTCGCGCATTGTGGGGATTCATGTAAGTGTCTGGCGGGGGCTCTTAGCCCTCCTTACTCACGTCACAGATATGTGTCGCATGTTTTATCAACTTTCAAATCTGATGCCTCGAGAATTTGGACCCTTTGTAAGTCTTAGACGGGAATTTCACGTTAGATTTTGGCATAATGCCACCTATTCTGCCAATTAAAGTGTTCTAGATGCAGGGAAATCCCATTTATCTGGCAGTCTGTCTGATTGAAAAATGAACGAATTTTGTTTTCCCTAAACTGACCTCGATCTTCCTCCTTAACCACTTCAGGTGATCATCCTTATCGACGACATTGGTGCCTTTTTGGAGGGCAACTGCCCGTGGGAAGCTCGTGAGTCCCGCTGCGCCCTCTTCGAGAGAGTCCTCCGTGCCGTCTTCAAAGCCTTCGCCGGCGACGAGAAAGCTCTCACCATCGTTCGTGGCCACGACTTCAAATGTGAGGGGTAGGTGACTTCCCAATCCACCTGTCTATCAGTCCATTTGCCCAGGTGGTGTATTTACTCCAGTATTTTGTCATTTATGGTTGATTTGCAAGTTGGGTTGATAGTCGCTTCCTAACTACTTGCCGGTTTCAGTAGTATTTGTGGACCTGGTATTGATCTGTTTTCTGTCTGACACTACTATCGTTGATTTCAGTAATATGCTATGCTCAGTGTACTGTTTTTGTCGCCTCACCAGTGTCTCTACAAGACAGTTGAAATTATGACTTCGTTTTCCATGCTGAATTTATGCTCTTATCATTATATCCCCATTTATCAGCACAAAATTCTGGAGTATATGCTGACCTTTGACAATCATAACTAGTACGCACTGTTAGCCTTCGGAACCACGAAAGCCGTCACCGTGTATACTTCATCCACATAGCCGCAGAAACAAAGTTTTTTGTTGGGAGGGAGGGTAGACTGCTCAACTGATCACGTTTGTGAGGATTTTACCGAATCTTCACTAGGAAGATAAAGCGAAACCAAAACTTCGTACAGAATTTGCATTATCAATTGTAAGTAGCATTTGAAGGTCAATATGCACGCATATCCTGTAATGCTGCTAAGAGCATCATCAGATAGACGGCGTGTACATTAGCGATTTTAAGCAACCGATGAGGTGTTCATTAAAACTTAGTCGGAAAAATAAGGCTTTATTGACAGTGCGGAAAACGATGGGAGGGTGGAAGGCTGAGTACAGGATCAAAACGAACCTATTTCCTGCAGTCGGCTTTCTGGGTACTAAGTGGAAATTCACTGGAATACTTTAAGGTCAGGTCACTCATTCTAAAGCATATTTTACTGTATTCCATGCAGAAGGATGACACCTAGTGCGTGTCCCAAACCACGATAGTAGTGAGCTAAAACAGTCAATTAGTTGGCTACTGCTTGTAAGTGTCAGCAGTGCTCGCATGAGCCATAGATGGCCCGTGTGCTCCTCACCGAGTATCACCAGAAGCCAAGCGGATCCTCACTGCTCCCGCAAGCGACTGTTCTTGGTTGCCTAGCCCTTTAAGTTTGTGTGTCTTCCCTTGGACGTCTCGATCGGCAGCCTTGAGGGAAGATACAGCCATTACTCAGCTTACTGAATTGCTGCTGAATACATGAAATAAATCCAAAAGCAATGCTATGGGACCATATGGATCCACGTTCTGTTTTCTAAGTAGCTCTTGAAGACGATGATGCGTAGACATTATTGAACGCCACTAGGTTAGTGCTTCAAGGTGCTTGTCAATGGTCAGTCAAGAAAATCCGTTATCATTGCTGGGTTTTAATGTTTTCAAAAAGAGCCCAATTGAGCTACTTATAAGTCTTGTGGCCTACTTCAGTAGTGTGTCTAGCCACGTTTAACCTGTGCAGCGATTGTATGCACCCTATCACAGCAAGAGTGATGGACTAGGACAGTGCATTGACCTTATAGACATTACAACCGAAATTGGTGCTCGATGCTTATCATTAATCATTGATGGATCCTCTCCACGGTACTACTTATAACTTGATCGACGAATTTCAGTAGCATATTGAACTTTGTCTAATCCGAGTACTTCGCGCAGCTATATCAGCCGGTTACAGTGATCGCTTGTCCTGATTAGGTCCTAGAATGCTACTGAAGTCAGTGCCGCGCTTTATAAGTAGTGCATAAAGAATGCTGCATGAAGTGATGTTCGGGCACCTGGCGATGGGTGATTTACCACCCCATTGACAATCGCTTTTAGGTCTTACATGTTAGACCTCTACCGATTGGTGAGTCTAGTACCCGAGAAGGAGGCTTTTGACTGCAGTGGAGCCACAACGCCCTCGTCGCAACGGCAGGAACAGGCAGGTGATGCGAGAGGAGAGGGGGAGGAGGAGGGTAGTGGACTCAATCTCTCCGCTCTCCTGCTCCCTTGCACCGCCCTCCTTGACGCCTACCATCTTGAGGCGGATCTGCGTCTCTCCAGCCCTCGCTCCGTGGAGGGACAGGAGAAGTTTGCTAAACAGGTTCGTGATTTGGAGGATCTTTCATTTTTTACTAGTAATCAAAGTTCTCTTTTGTGGCTTGGTGATATTCCGTGAATCGGCGTGTTGTTTTCAAAAGCTATCCCAAACTCACACTTTGCTCCAAAAGGAGATTCATAATCCTGGCTCTTGACCACACGGCGATGACCAGCTAGCGCCAAGGTTTGAAGAAGAATGCAACAGCGCTTCCAAGTTCATGTTTAATCTGCAGTTGAGGCAAGAGCGATTTACTTCTCCATCGCAGTGGTTCCGACCTCGGGACCTTAATTACGAGTTTCCACCGATGGTATGCATCCCTCCCGTTGGAAAAGACTGAAGTGGTTTCATGGCCACCCAGGTGATGTTGGGTCGTCAAGGCAAGGGCTCCCTGCCTTTAGGCGATTTCTCTCGCATCCACATTTGTTTATTAGAGCAAAACCTTTCTGCTTTTTCTACCTCGTCCATTTATTGAAAGATCTTGTACTGTTGAAACTGTACTCGGGTGTTTGGATTATTCATTGCGATTTTGGCTGTCCGCATCGGTTCTACGGCGAAATCACTCTTTAAAATAACGTGCTTGTGGGTTCCTGAAGTGTCATCCAATATCTTCGGTTGTGAAGCTGACATCAACTATTGAAAATGTGTATCTTAGAAGTTTTGATGATTCCTTGCGATAAATAAATAATTAAATCAAGTGAGAAGATCGCTCTGTATTACTCTTGAGTCGCTAATTTCCTTTTCGGTAGTATATCTGCTCCTCCCTGCTTTGAAATTTGTTCTCTTTATGCTTTCAAGTACGATGCACGGGGGTGTGTGTTACTCAGCTCCTTCGATGGTGGGATCCTCATTTAAGCAAGTCATTCGATTCGGCTGTTTTCCACTGTTCTGCTTTCCAGTTCCTTCCGCGTTTTGACACCTCGCATTCACCACCCCTCTTTGTCCCCCACGCCCTCCTGCCCGCACTAATCACCGGCACCGCCACAGAAGAAGCAGCCGTCATGACGACTTTTGTCCCGCCGCTGCGTGATCCTCGGATGGCCCAGTCGGCGGCCGCGCAAGCGGTGGGACGGGTAGCGTCGGAACGCTGTCTTCCTCTGATCGAACCACCGCCCCCAGGTGTCCCCGCCATCGCCTCGTCCCTCATCCTCCCCGGTCTCAAGCGACGCCTCAAACAGGCTTTCTGCCAGCCGGGAAATGTTCACATTAATCCTCTGTTGGAGATATTCAAGGCCGTGGCACTGCCTGAACTGGCTCCCGGAGGTACTCACATGGTTCATTTGTGACCATGATTTAAAGTGATCCGCCATTGTTTGCCTCGGTTTTCATGCATCAAATACACAGGTTCGACAGTCCACAGCTAATAAACCTGACCAAGCTAACGGTACGGCTACTCACGTCTGTAGAGAACCTCGTCCTGCCCAGACCTGAGCAACACGGCGGTCCCATCACTCTGACTCCCAGCGAGTACAATGGCGCCAGTTGTCATTTAGACGATCTCTTCGCCAACGAGGTCTGGCACCCAGGTGACCTGAAGGCGGCGTTGGAGGCGGCTCTACTTCAGGGTCTTCAACGCCGTCTTGTAGAATACCTTCCCCCCGCCGACCTCAGCCGCCTCATCGATGATGCTTTCCCTGTGCCCGGCAAAAAATCCAAAAAGGCAACCCCTGGGAAGTCAAAATACACCGAAGTCAAGACTGTGGACAATGTCAAGGAAGGCAGGTTGAGTAAAGGGTAGATTTAGAGTTTACCAACGTCTGGATCCCGATTCCATCGCTTTACTCTTCAATAGAATGAACCTTTCCTTCTTTTCTGTCATTTTTTCTAGGTGAAGAGCGGAAAAACGCCGCAAAGTTGGACGAATTCGATCCCAGCCTTCTCGAAGTGAGGGTCGGTGAAGTGGTGGACGTCAAGCCAGTAAGTTGAATGCTTTATGAGCCTCCCCTTTCAAGCGATCTCCTTCTTCGTATTTCGCCTGCATTTAAAGCACCCGATATCAGCCGACTTCAATGTCTGTCGTGTCGCCTTTGACGCGGGAGCGAAGGACAGGGTCTCCGTAATTGGACTGCCTGCCGAGGCTTTGATGCACAAGAAGGCCGTCTTTCTGACCAACCTCAGGCCCTGTGATATTGGCGGCGTCACTTCGGAGGTAGGCTAAGCCAGAGGGGAATCAATTTCTTGTCTCAATTGGTCAGTTGACCCATGACAAGTGTCTCGGCCTCCTTACCTCCTTCTCTCGACCCACAGGTCAAGGTAGTGTGTGTGGGCGACAAGGAAATGCTGCAGTGTCCCCATCATACACTCGGCTCGGTGCTGCGTTTCCAGGCCGCGAGGAGGGAAGGAAGGCGTGCCAAGGCTGCCACCAACACTACCATTATCGACCCTGAGGCACATCCCGGCTGGAGGGCCTTCTTTGCTGACGTCTACTACTCCCCTGACGGTGACGGGGCTCTCTGCTGGCGGCAGAATTGGCGGCTGTCTCTCGCGCCATGACTAACGCAAACACTTGTTCACAGTGAACTGCCCATTTGTACAACTTAGCAAACTGTTTTGAAGTGGAATTGGGGTTCTCTCGTCTTGTTTTTGGTCGTTTGGTCTAGTGACGTTGGACTCCATGGTGCAGCCCTCGTGCCTGCAATAGTGATTGGTATCAGTCAAAGCAGATCTGTGGTGGGTTGCAATTTGTGCTCGAGATGTTTGGGAACGTCTTGTCTGTTGTGTCTCTGAAGATTATGGACATGGTTGATGAGGCAACTGGAGCTGGTTTGGGGCGTCGGTAGCGAGGATTACCGGAGAAAGAGCCTTTTATCTGTCGTGTCAGGACTAGCTACTCTATTGCTTTGAAGGTGACCTGAGATGTTATGACTTTGGACTCTTTAACGAACCTTGTGATCTACACCAACGAAGATAATCAAGAGAGTCCGAGATGTCCTGTTGGAAATGAGGGCAGGAGTGCTCACAGAATAGCTTCAAAAGAAGGAACAAAAAATAAAGAATTTTAAGAAACAAATAGGTGCGATTATTAGGTCTTCCTTTTTCATACCCCACGCTGGTTCAAGTTTAATTAAGACAAACAAATTCTCAGCTACTTGTATAAAATCTTTTGTAGTAACATGTTCAAAAGGAAACTTCAGTCCAGGACGAAACCGTCTCGATAATTTAACAAAGCTGTACACTTGGAAGTTTTTTAGCTTTCTTTACTTTTTAAAATTTTTTGCAGCTGGCTGCATTTTTAAGCTTTGCTGAAAGAGCCGCTCCCTTCAAAGCGTTCGGGCTATAATGATATGTGGCGAAGAGCATTTGTAACCCCTTTGATTTCTTTATTATTTTTGATCCAGATCATCAAATTTGGCTAGGCCTAGGATTTGCGAGTCAAATGCTTACATTCTACCCCCTGCTGACGACGTCGTTATCTACAGATCCTCTCCCGATAATCGGTTTTGGTTAAAGACTATCAAGCTGGAACAATGCGACCGCAACGACTTGGCATCCCTCCTCACTTTTATTTCTAATGTTCAGAAAATATCCCCCTTTAGGGTTTTTGCCTGTGATTCCAGTGAACCCCTGACTGACAACGTCCATTTTGGTCTCTTCCTCCCCAAGCTGATTTCCCTCCTCGGCACAGAATTGACTCTCTCTTATCCTCTATGCAAAAGTGGTACTGTCCACGAACTTCTCAAACCGTACTATGTCGACGGAGGTCTTCCTGAGTCCCTGGTGGCCGCTATCTTCTCTCGGGCCGTCAGGAGTTTGAACAAGCTTCACCACCTCGGCTGGATTCATCGAGCCATTTGTGCGAGACATCTTCTGCTTCATCCGTCATCGGAGAACAGTGAAGACTGCCTGGATGTTTCCTTCTGCGGCCTTGGAAGCATAGCTTCGGTCCGACCCCTTGGTAGTATGCTTAATCGTGCTGACCTGCCGGTCATTGATGCGGGGTGGAGAGGCTGGCACTACCAGAACCTCCAGGAGACCGTCTACAGCACCCACCCAGTCGCCTGGTACAGTCCCGAGATGATCGCGCAAGACTTTGAGGGATATGGAAAGCCTGCGGATATCTACAGCCTTGGGATGGCGTTGGCTGAAATGTTCACTGGGATCGCGCCGTTTGTAGGGACTATCACACCCTCGTTAATCTTCCTCAAGAAACTGACCCTCAGGGAGCCGCTTTCGCTGCCTTGTGTAAGTTCCCAATTCGCCCCTTTCTGCGAAAAACTAGGCCAATTGTCTCAGTGACCATTTCTGAATTTGGGTTGGCTCTTAACCAGCTTACAACACCCACCCACGACAGTGTTAACCAACTGGAAGACTGTAGAAGCAGTCTGGATGGATCAGGTAGTAATGATGCAGGTCGAGCAAGGTGAATACACGACGCTGATCCCCGAAACGAGTCCCTCACTTACAGCCACCATCTTTTTAATTTGTCTCCAGTTTGTAGAAAATTGTGACTTCCATCAGTTGCAACTTTCTCACTCGTCATCGTTTCCGTTGAATGCGCTTTTCTGACACCGACTACCTCTTCCCTTACAGCCTCCGGGTCAAGCAGCCAGCGGAGACATGCTCACCACTTTCGAGAGCTGCACTCACTTCGATCCGGACCGTCGACCAACTGCCGAGGACCTCCTCCACACCCCTTGGGTGCAACGTGGTCTTGCCACTCCTCTGAGGGAAAGCCTCCTCACCTCTTTTCGCCAACAATAACTTTGTCGCTACCACTACTTTCAGTGTACATACGCACTAACTTGCCACTTCTACCTTCAACTCGATTCAAAAATCCACCTTCCACTGATAAAAGGTTAGCTTTTCTTTGAGAAAAGGTGAGGGAGAGAAGGGGGGAGGGGAATGAGAAAGGCCACTAGAACTTGTCGAGACGACACAGCGGACTGTCGTAGACCATGCGCAGATCGATTTTGGGACCTATGAGATCTCGGATGTTCTTGTAGCCGTAGCGGATCATTGTTGGTCTATGAGGAAGAAGCATGAAACAAAAAGACGGCTCGTGGTCATATACTTTTTTCCCGTTCAGATGGTTACTGATAATAAACACGGGGCTCTTTTACATCAACATTCCCTAGGGATCCAAGCTAGACAAGGAAATCGCAATACTCGCTAAACAGGTGAAATTCGCGGGTTGAGTCGTCAGCACTTTGCGCCGACGATGCACAAATGTGATGGGTGATGCTATACTTCCATTGTTTTGACTTGCTGGAGATACGGAATTTTTCATGATGGAGGTGGGAAACTCATATAACTCATGGAAACAGGCCTGTCTTTAGCAGGTGAATGAAAACCTAAGCTACTCATGAAAGAGAGTAAAGCCTTCCACATCGCCATCATTCAAATGATAGAAGGGGTGTATGAATAGGTAAGTGAAGCAGCCCCCCGTGGCGGGATACTCCAGAGATGGCAGAAGAACGTACCGTTCAAGGGAGAGTCCCCAGGCGATAACACGGACACCCTCGGGGAGACCCATAGGACGCAGCATTTCCGGTCGGAAGATGCCCGAGTTGCCGATTTCCACCCATTTCTTCAGACCTGTGCTCCAACAGAAGATATCAGAATGTGGGATGAAGTCTCGCTTGCAATCGAGAATAAAAAAAATGATGCTCACCGGGATGAAAACTAAAGATCTCCATGGAGGGTTCAGTGTAAGGGTTGTAGGTTGGTTTGAAGCGCAGTTGATGCAGCCCTAGATGCGAGAAGAAGGCGCGAATAACGGCCTTGAGGTGACCCAGACACAACCCGTAGTCGGCAAACACGCCCTCCACCTGGTGAAACTCGGCTAAATGCGTTGCGTCCAGCGTCTCGTTGCGGAAGACCCGATCGATGCTGAAGTAGCGCTGCGGCGTAAACTCCTTCTGTAAGGGCACAGAGCAAAGTATGCACACAAAGATAGGCAGTGGGGTCAATTACCCTCCCACCTCACAGGTGTGCGAGACCGTCTCCGTCTGTTATTACTGAAATCATTTCCATGTTAACAGTCTTTCAATTTGTGGACTATTGACAAAGAATTTTCAAGAGTTATTCAAATGCCTCACTAATGCAGATTTCAAGGAGCTGTTTTCAGAATAACTATGCCACGACCTCCTCCGGATCTTCTACAAGTTGGCAAAGAAATAACTTATGCTCCTCCGTGCCTCATCAACTCTTCCTATTAATTGATTCTGTAGGAAGAATAGATATTCGGATTAAAAATCCCTTTTGCTGTGAAGGGAAAGCACGTTACGATCTTCTTCGCCTGACGGCTAAACACGTTCGATAGCAGGATCCCGGAGGAAAAGGGATTACCTGTCACTTATAAACAAAATATCCCATCTGAAGTTACAACACTCAGGAACTACAAAGGGATTAAACGCATCCTACAACTGTTCAATCATTTTAAACTGAATCAGTGGTTATCACGAACTGATAAGGGACGCGTCACATATGTGTGACACCGGTGGCGAGAATGCTAATCTCATTTCTTTTGGCTCTATTGATGGCTACCGGCATGAAATTCGATGCTTAAAAGAAGACCAAAAGTAGCTGGCGAAATGATAGGAAGACAGCTTCAGTTGCTCATGATTCGAACCGTTCGGTGGATCCACATTGCTCTGCTTATACGGTAACCGACACGTTCTTAGTGATGTTACCTCCAGACTTATGTGTCCCACAATTCGAAGACCTCACAAGTGAGTTAAGCACCTAAGGAAATGGTAGATCTAATACAAATGACTTAGAAACAGGCTTTTCAAGCCATCCATTCTAGCAATGGCCTCGATATTGTTGAAAAGCTGATAAAATGCCTCCATTCTAAAGTGGACCCTAATAACCGTTTTTGGCGAGGAGCACTTATTGAATACCGATCTCGAAAAGAAAAATCAGCGCAAGATTTACCGTTGCCGGTGAAAAAGTTGACGCGAAATTGTAGGGCTAGCGACCCCTTTCGATTGGCAGTAAAGGGATGGGAAGGGGTGTTTTGACCCCTAACACAAGACAAAGGCACAACCTTAAAAAAGACTACGTTTCTCATTCCTTCGAGATCAATGCCAGTTTGTTCGACCTCCTCTGTTCAAGGGCAAAGAAAAACTCTGCGTACTCCACTTCCACCTCCGTGGCGTGGTTAAGTAAGGTAATGAAACGCAGTCTAGAATGAAACAGCCGTCCAATAGATTGTCGCTTTCCTTTGCTACAATCTCTGTTTTTCAAGTGGATAGGGACACTGATGTAAATGGTGCAAGTGATCACTGAATGTGAGGAAAGCCCACTGATATCCTCCGAGAAAAGCACTCCCAGTGAGACCTAAGAGGGTCAAACAGGGAATAAAATCAACTACTCAACGCCAGCCAATCATATTTCTCGAGCTAAGACTCCTTCAAACCCCAAAATAGCCATCTGAATTTCGACAGCATGACAAACAACTACCATAGCAGCTGCCTTCGCCGACGCGCCGTGGAGAGAAGAGTGGTAATGATGTCGCGAGGAAGGATCGCAAGCAAAGACAGTCTTCGGAAAACTTCTCAACGAACCGAAACAAAAAAAAGCCGCAAGGCAAAACCAGTTTTCGCACTTTTGAGCTCACCGTCCTGTTTTACGTTTTTCGCAAAAAACAACCGACGGAGGTCTTGAATGATCATGGATGAAGGCAAAATTAATACCCTTTACCCAGAAACGTTCAAGGAAATCGAATATAGAATGAACTAAAATGTTTGAGACCATAAATATTTCTCGAACTAGGCTTAACAGCATGAGATATCCGTCACCGATTTGAGACCATGAGCCAAACACTTCAAGAAAACGAGAAGAGAGTAGATAGAGACGACCGGAGCCACGGTTAGAGTAGCTGAACCTTGCAAGGCGGTGATATTAAGAGTGAGAAGCAACCTAAGTCTTTCCATTCTCCCGAAAGGAGAAGGAAATGGATAGCAACCCCACCTACTGAATGCTTGTAGAACGTGTGCGCGAATCGAGCACAGAATAGCTCCAGTTGATTGATCCAGGATGATCTGGGACAGCCCCATATTCCGATCTGGGTATTGGAAAGTGAAACATCTCTCACCCATCCCCAGTACCATTAGAAAACCGGACAAAGAGACTCCAAGGGAAGAAAATGAAGAGGAAGGGAGTGGAAAGGGAAGACGCCTACCACACCTGCTGTGCCAGTTTGTAAAGCATGCGTGCGCTGACGGCAGTAGTGTGAGTGCGGAGAAGGTTTTTGGCAGCCTCCGACAGTTTCCAGTCGTAACTGTAACCCTTGGAGCCGCACCCACCCTTCTCGTGGATGCGTTTCACTCGCTCCACGTAATCCTTCGAGTAGTGCGCCAGCACGTCCGTTGTCGCGGGATCTAATAGTGATAAGAGGATTAAAAAAGCGACACCGATTTTCGGTGTGCCTCGGCTACTCAATTCTTCACCATCTGCACCTCTTGTGAATCATCCCAAGTAGCTCCGACTGACTCACTCATCCGCACCACTAGTCAATAATTTGATAAAACACGGACATTCCCGACTGGAGCCATCAGTTGAACAGCGAAGATCAGGCTAACGACCCGGCTTCTAAATGGGATTTTTCGATACTATGCGACATGAGCAATAGGCAACAGCAAAAGGAAGTATACTACTCACGTCTTTTTTCGACACTACCTTGTTTGCAACGAAGAGGCTGTATATTTGTGCTTCAAAACGTGACCCTCCATCAAAATGATTGAATAAGCTGCTGAACCAAAATTTGGAATAGAGAGGTATCGGGAATACCCAACACAAAGACGATGAAAGACAGTACGCGAGATTACGACACAGCTCTGTTGGCTTGAATTGCCCTGTAAGGCCTGAAGGACGACGTTTGGGACATGCTAAAAGAACTTAAATGTGGAAGCCTCCTCTATATTAACTTCGTTCCTAAAACAATAGTGCTTCGACCATTATAAAAAAATTCCCCTTTGTTTAGGGACTTTTCTGCTGTTTCCACAATCCCAATTATTAAACTCATTGCCTAAACAAAACACGACTACGTATCCTAAATCACCTTAAATCTTAATTCATTATAAGCAACCATCATTCACCTTAATGGAAAGTAGCTTGGCGTGTACAGTATCCGTTATCAAAAAAATAAAATAAAATTGGAACAAAAACATACCAGACAAGAAAAAGGTGTCATGAGCGTCTCGAGCCGGGTGTTGCTGGGGCTGGAAGAGGCTGTCAAAGTTCCAGAAGCTGGACTCCACGTAGTTGTTCGTTGGCATTTCCGAAAACCTAATCCACGCGAAATGCACCAAGCAGCCGAATCAATGGCGATGAGTCAAAGTGTTAACAATAAGATCAAATAACCCACCCCATATCCATCAGAATTCGGCGGAACTCAGAACGAACGCGCAGGAGAGGATGCAAATGACCACCCTCTGGCGAGACGCCAAGGGCTTTGAAATTGTACTTTTTAAAATTCAGACTTTGCCACAAACCTCTAGAAAGAATTGAAATCATGAGGCATCCTACGTCGCAACCATTTCCGAAGTCAAGTCAGTTTCTTCTTTCACGCGTTTTGTCGTGAAATTCGGACCCCGTTCGACACTATAAATTGTGACTTTCCTAAAGCAATGGAATATTTATAAAAAATCACTTTTCCACAATAAGCTTGCGTTTTTTCAGATCATTTCTTTCACTTATACTGCAGTCTTCAAGCTTTTCAAGACAGGATTGTACATCATCACCGGTGGGTTTATTCTGAAAACAACGAAATAAGGAATGAACACAGTCTTACGAATTTATTGACAATTTGAACGTTAGAGTCATTCTTCGTGACGGAAATCCACTTGGAAGCTAGGGCTTTGCTCACACCCAGCTTTGCATATTTCGAGATTTTCTAAAGGCACCAGTAAGGAGTAAGGTGCCCAACCATCAACTCTGGCATTGGAATGCCCTCATCGGGAATCGCCGAATAGACGACAAACTCATGGCTTCCATGCTTAAGAACGTACTCTCCCTCATCAGTGAGGGCAAGTTTTGTTTGAACAATTGGTTCGGCCTTCACCAACTAGATAGAACATGAGGGTTGGCCTATCAAACCTACTCCATCAATCTGCTGGAGACTTTTGACACCACCAACGACAACTTGATGGTCGACGTCTAATGACTGAGCTAGTTCTAGGGAGTTGATGGGCGACACATTAGCCAACCTATCGAGAATAGTTTGCGCTATATTCATCAAAAAAAACGTGCCAAATCGTCCGAAGGCCGCGGGCTGTGCCAAGTCGCTAAAACAACTGTGAGCAGGCAACAGTCAGATATCCTTGTAGTAAATCTGTCAAATTTTAGGGTCTAAAATTTTATGCATTCAAAGATTCTTTTAATGCCTCAGTTGGATCCAGTCCGGCCTTATTAGACTGGGTTATCTTTGAAGACATCTGCTCTTACAAATTTTCTATTTGGCATCAAATAATGTTCATCACTTAACAATGCAACTTAAACCGCATCACTTTTTTTGCAAACCACTTTTTAAATACAGTTAAAACTTCTTCATACTTCTCATTCGTTTTCCCCAGTTGCTGGGAAACTCACCTTGTCTACCCATGAATAGTATTCTCACTTTCGATGCTCGATTTAACCCTACCTTAAGCCGAAGTTTTTTTTAGATTTCGCTTATTACTTAATTTCTTAACATGTTAACGCAGTTCCTTAGGCCTATTTTCACAATTTATTCATTTTTTGCCTTGGCAGTTTCAATATTCCTCTCTCCAGGCTCTGGTTTCATACCACTAGAATTGGAAGACCAAGTAGAAGAGGTGCCTTTTATTTATAAAGTTTAGTGGATGTTCGCCATTTACCGAGACTCCGAGAGGATCAAGGTTAACCTCCTCCTCAGGGGCTCGATCAGTCACGTGGGCGGAGTAGATTTACCACATTTTACGTAAAAGGCTTATTTAAACAAACTGGTAGTGCATTGCTATCCCTTATAATTTTTTACGCTCATTTAGATAGAGGTTAATTAAGAGATTATTCCAGACTATATTCATTGCTAAACTTCACCACGAAAATCGATACCTCGAAACATGTGCCCCACGCCGGCAATGGATGACAGAAGCACGCAGCATGAAGTCGCGTCGGTCTCGAACGTCCACCTCAAAATGCGAGGTAGTGGAGTATATTCCCCCCTCAAAGCGCCTTTTGGATCCTCTTCCATCCGCGCCTACCGCTGCAGATTCACATCAGCGCATCATCGGGAAGATTGATAGATCAGCTCTGACCATGTACCTGCAGATTCTTGCCAGCAGTGACTACGTCCTCCCCAATTCAGATGCAGATCCTGTATCCCCTGAAGTCAATCAGAAAGTGCCTCACACAAAGAACGCTAAACTCAGAAAATTGGGAGATAGAATATCCTTTAAAAACAGACGTCAATCATTTTTCCTTCCTGAAACCTTGCTTGAAGAGGATGAAAGGCTTTCTAAGGAGTTTCTTTTCAAGCGAGCCCTTGCATTGGGTGCATCAGACGCCGTCCGAGATGCTCTGATCAAACGCGAGCTCTCATTAGCTGATTTTCGACCTCTAAAAGCCCCTTTCGTACCGTACATTCTTAAGGTCCTGGTCAACGCCATCGAAGAAGATTGCAACCGTCAGGGTTGGGATGTCATCTTTAACCAATCTAGCTCCACTCAGCGCGAGTTGGCAGAACTCCATGCTTGCCTCCTCATCCAAAATTGGAATCATCATCACCATGTAAAACGTCAGGTAGGTGAAATCCCTCTTCCCCTCAAAATCACCACACTTCGAGTCCTTCTTTCGGGCTTCAAGCAGAAACCGCTTCACTTTAATAAACAAGTCCTTAAAGAGGTCATTAAGAGACCGCTCTTTGACCTCTTTCTACGTCCGAATCCCAACATCAAGTCCTTAGTTCGTCACACCGCGTTGCCATGTAATCGCACAACAATGGACACTCTGGCATTCATGATGTTCCACCTGCAACACGCTTGGGAACATGGCGCTAATCCCATAGCCACGAAGGGTATTTTGGCGAAGCTCTACGGTCCTCTCTTGGTGAGTTTCTCCGAGCGTCCGGCGATCATCGATCAGGATCCAATGGACTACAAGACAGAGGAGGCGGCGATCCTGGAGGTTGTGCTAGAGGTGTGCAACTCCCAGTTTTGGGACAATCTGAGCATGCTGAAGATGCATTTGGCTTTTGACTCTGACCTGTATGGCGAGGAGGAGAAGACAAAGGAAGAGGAGGAGGGAATAGACTCATTAAATGACTTGAACGTCAAGACGTCGGATGAACCCTCGGAGTATGAGAATGAGGCGTGGTTCTCGAATCTCTTCGCGGGCGATTTGTGTGCAATGAAATCAGCAGCGGCGGAGCCTAAACCGCAATCAGTCATGTGAGTTATAAATTTTTCACTCAAAAGTTCCTGTTTAATGTGACTGTGTGTGTTTAAGGCCACTCTGGAAGGTGCTGTTAAAAGACATCTTCTATGATTTGAATGACCGGTGTAGTCAACAGTAATGTTAAATCCGACGTCGGTTGTATGGAAATGATGCTCGGTGGTCTTAAGGAAACAGTGACAGCATGCGACCAGAAAATGTGTCAAATTAGATGCTTTAAGTGTTGTTCTCAGTAGATTCAGTAGCTATACATCCATTCAAGCCGTTGCGCTGGCCATCTGATGCATCAAGGCTACGTGTGAGATCAGAGCAAAGTCTATCATTGTCCTGAGAGTCTACGCAACGCATAAAAATCCGACAGGATACACTCATAACATCTTCAGTTGGATGAACAGTTGTCCTGGTGGTTGAAGCTTTGTGGTGTCAGAGTCCTCTTTAGCCTGTCAAACTACTTAAGTCATATCAGCGTCTCTCAACTGCGTATGTTCGATTCTTCTACTTCTTTGGCGTCAAAACACCGCCCGTCTACCAAATTCATATTTCTGGCTTGTTGAGACGCTACAGAATATACGAGTTTCAAAGAATCATAAGGAAGTATTGTGTTAGGTATTCCTTGCATAGAATGGATTAAGCCGAATTCCTACTACTACTTCCTTCTGTTCTGCAGTCTGCCACCACCGGTTAGAGGTTAGCCACATCAAAACGTCATCTTTTAGGTGTCATTCTTAATATTTTGCTTTGCTCTTGCACTGAGATCTTGTAGATCTGTGCATGGATCGCAGTGGTGGTTCACCAAAACCAACAACTTTTAGCAGGATGATATTTACTGCACCTCGGTTCCTCTCCAGCCTCCAGTAACATCAATTTCACATGGTTTTTATAAAAATCTACACCTACACTACTTGCGCTTATCAGTTGTGTATGATGTTGGTGAAATGCAGGGCTGGTAGCTCCTCCGGAGGTAATTTGACCCCCTCAAATACGCAGACTACATGCAGAAGCCTTCATCGAAGGTATTCGCTGATCCACCGCAGTGTCAACAAATCCGAATGGTGGGAAAGGTTGTCAGAGAGACGTGTTTGGAGAGTGACGTGAAGGAGTATAGTCCAAAATAGGTATTTCATATAAATTAGACCTAAACGATGCAAAGAAGTGAATTTGCTTGCTACCAAGAAAGCAGAAAGGAAGGATTTTGGAATTGAAAGGGTTGGAGAGGAGAATACTTGCAAGATCAATTTGTGAAGGCCATTCATCGAGGTCAGTTGGTTAGATCGGTCTCAACTTTTAGGACACTGATGTTATCTGCCATCCTTTAGTAACACATCAGCCTCGCAAGCAGGCAGCGACTTCGAGATGGTTGGTATCCTTCTTGTCTCTATAAAAAAACTGATCAGTCAGCAGATTCCATGCGCAATCAAATCATAGCCACCCTATTAAGAGGTTGCATTTTCCTTTCTTGTGTGTCCTACAGAATGCCCTGGGGTAAGAGCATCCTCGCCGACTGCCGTCCGAGGCCGCTCAAAGTAAAACCGCCGAAAGAGACACCCGAGCAGCGAATAGAACGCGCAAAGAAGGACGTCGCAGCGGTGCTGCATGGCAGTGTGCACGATTGGAAGCCACCACCTTTTCATGAGGACCTTCATTGCGGCCCCCCAAGTCATCTGGGTGATGTGCACCTGTACCACGTCTACCTACGACGTCGACTGCGTTCCACATCAGCCATCTTGCGGGACGTTTTCCGGGAGGCACGTCTCCCAACAAGAAAAGATCCGCCTAAGTTCCTGCATGTGCCAGCTCGGGTCCAAACCCACCTCACTTGTCCTCCCACGCCCCCACCTCCTTTACCTATTCAAGAGTCAAAATCTGATGTGTGATAGCTCCCAAGGACTCATTGTGAGGGCTATTGGTGATGTTTACAATTCATTCGCCATTGGTTTACAGTACATTCTAAAGAAGAAATGATTTATTTAAGAAATGATGAAGATTTTGTAATCGTTCTTGAAGCCGGAACTGTAAATCCCCTTCCATATTAATAAGTTGTTTTAGTAGCATATACTACTTTTGTCGCCTTAAAGTAGCACAAACTACAAAGCTTCCCAGCACATTTTGGGTATGGATTACATCACAATAACCGGTTGTCAAAACAGAGTGACTAAATTGAAAAAAAAAAAAACTAGTGAAAGGTTGCATATCTCTTTCAGCTTTCGCTTAATAAAAAGGCGACTGTGTATGTTCAGATACCATCAGAGATTCTCCCACATCCATTGGACAAATAGATGTTTGGAAACTCCATTTTCAAATCTTCGGTAGTAAATGGGCCACTGCGTTCCTAAATTTGTCAAAATTTAAGCAAGTATTTCCCCCGCGTCATAGCTTAGAGGTTTGCACAACTTAAGGTTTTGTCAAAATCAGTCAAGAGCTTGCCACTGGTCTCTACCACTAACGGAAATCTAAAATAAATATTTTTTTTAAAGCAAAAGTTTTTTAATTCATTCAACTGTACAAGGAAAAAAACAAATGAAGTAGTTTAATAAGCCACTACATCAAGCCGATCTCCGGTATTGAACTGATGTCTTCATGGGTGAGTGGCCTGGATCCTATCGATCGCCCAAACCAATAATCAATGGCTATTGACTTCAGACCAGGCGGCTTTATTGATCGATATGCATGAGTCATTGTGGGTGCGTAGAGGTCTGAAGGCTAAATGACGGAGACGACTACTTCAATTGTCTCCTTTTAGATCTCTCTATCGTTTAACTAACCTTGGAGGCATTAGTAAGTGGTTGACCTTGAACTTATGGACATGGAGTGAGTACCAGCGTAATTTCAACCAATCAAAGGGGGTTGGTTGCGAGCACAGTTTCTTAAATTTCTGAAGAAATTAGCCATGAGAGTGAATGCACTTATAAAATTTAGTGGGAAATCTTTTTTTCAGGGGTTTTAGGGACACCCGACAATCTCCTTTGTTGTAAAAATTAACATAACTTGGAATATCTATAGTTTGCAATACCTGGTGAGGGTTTCCGAGAGCTCTTGACTTAGAGGCAATTTATAATCTATCTGGAGATGTAAAAAGATGTTTCCAGTCACTGCCGAAACTCCAGTGATTGCAGTTGAGTGCCAGGGAGCCCAGAGGGAACTAAGCAATTAAAGAAAATGAGGAAAGTAGTGGAATTTGCTGACTTCTAATGTAAGTTACACTCTGTGTTGACGGTGAATTCCACAAGCATTCTGTGGTCGGGGGGCTAACGAATTTTGCTGATGATGGAACCAGTCTGACCTCTTGCCGACTGATCTACACTCATCTAGCTCTCCCTCTGTCAGGAATTGGTGCTTGTGGACCTAGATTCAAACTCTTAGTTGTTGAAAGGTTGACTCTGGTGTGGGACGGCTTTACCCTAGGTCTGGTACTTGACCACCAACTGTTTGCTGGAGACATGAAGCAGTTCCACCCTCACGAATTTGTGGGTACCTCGATTAATCTCGCTTTTGTAGTGACCGGTAGGACATCCAAAGTCTCACGGACATAATCGTGGATTGCCTGATGTCCTCGAATGCTCAAAAACTAAGTGCTTAAACGAGCATCTTCATAGAGGATGGAAACTGTAGTGATCTACTGCGACTGTTCGAAATCTTGTTAAAAGAGCAAGGCTGAACGGTCTCTCCTCACTTGTGACTACCTGCCCTTTTCAGCACGTAAAGCGGTGAATGAAATGCCAACAATTCCATCAATTTGCCTTATATCCGCCATGGCAACCAAGCATCCATTTTTCCATGCAAAACAACACATTTCTGATAGAATGACCGCCAATTTATAAGATTTTATTCCTCGTAGGAGTCAACTCCTTTCCTTCTCAGTTGTCTGTGTATTCCACATGTGGTCGCTGAATGCTGGAGAAGGAGAAGTACTTGGGGCAGGTAGAAGTTATGGATGGAAGGAAAGTATGTTTCTCCTCTGCCACCTTGGCTGAAGGGTGGATCACCTTGCCGACCAGCTTTGCATCGGTGTGAGGCAGGAGGTCCAGATTTGTGGTGTCTAGCAATGGCAGGCACAGAACTTTCCCCTGACCAAAATACTAACCCTACCACTTTACCTGAAAGAAAAGTATTTTCTTATTGTCAATCAAGTTTTGTTCAATTGTGTGGCTGTCACGGAATCATTTGTTAGAACTTGAACAGGTGGAAGGTCAGACCTGGGGTATGGGATATGGAATCTCGCCTTGTCTAGGTCAAGGGAGTAAAGATCTTTCTTTGAACTACCTCACTCGTCCTGGTTCTTTCTGCAGAAGAAGTCCCTCTTGGTAACTTGTCTTTTAGCAATGTTCCATCTAGTGGATAGGTTTCAATCGTAGTTGCCTGACTTTCAGAAAAAAGGAGCTATTCTTAGTGAAATATTGCTCGAGCAGTCCTTCTAACATAAGGGAAGCCTAGGCCTCTAAAATTGAAGCGCCTCGAGCCTTAGACATGTAGAAGCTTGAGTAACCACTGATTTGTTTGCTGACCCCGCGTACTTAGGTCACTTTTCATCACAAGTCAGTTGGCCAGCAAACAATCCAAAAACGGTCCCTTTTTGCAATGTCCATAAAGGAAGTGGAGAACTGTCCGCTAGCTGTTGAGGTGGAGCTCACCAGCCTGGCTTCCACGAATTATCCGGTTATTTTTTTCATTATATATATCAAAGGATTACTGAAAGGTGGTCTTAATACCTTTTGAACAGATTTTTTACTGGAAGCATTTATAACCTTGGAACCCATTTGAGCAGTTTTGAATAACACCGGTTTTTTTTTTCACCAGGCATCATAGGGGACTGGAATTCAAGAATGTACAAAGAGAAAACTATTGCAAGGGATTAACGCGTATCTGTACCTCAAAAATACTTGCAGCGCTACAGGTCTTCCCCAAAATCGTAGTTCAGCAGAACATGCTACTTACTAACGTATCAGCGACGAGCTAAAGTCTACAAGCCTAATTTGGCGGCTATGCCCTGTGAAGTGGCTTTCTTTGCCAAAGAAGAATTGAATGATCTATTTGAAAAGATGACACTCACCTGTTACCGCAGTGCAACAAGTTTTCGCAAGAGAAAAACTTGTTCCCTTCCGAAAAGACGTCGATTCTCCAAAATCAGTAAACGCCGCAAATTGGTATTTCTGAGAGTGAGCTTGAATTCCGCTGAACTGCCAATAGGATAAATCAAGAAGCAGGGCCTTGATGCGAATGTCCCAATACCCAATAAGCATAAATAGGCAGGGAGGTACGGCATGGATTTACGTGATGGCTAGCTAGCTGGCTGCCGGAGTCTGCCAAAGGCTCAGGATGGTACTGCTGCCTCTCATTTGTTGTCCATGCTTGACTCTGTAGAATCATCAATGCACATTTAGGGCAAATCTGACCAAAGCAATAGCCAATCAGGAGGCGCCGAGTGAAAGTTCGACCTTCTAGAATAGGTGAGAGTGCGATACGGAAACCAGAGCACCCAGAATAGCAAAACAGAAACAATTTCTGGAGCTGAAGTCATCTCCAGTGGTAAATATATCTGTGCAGTGGTAGTGAGTGGAGCGTTGACTTGCTATAAGGATGTGTAGCCTACGCAATCCAACGACAAGTAGGCACCCAGAGTCTGCTGAAGGAGGAACAGACATTCCCGTTTATTATTCACTGGACTCAAGGAAGTCCTTGGAAACTCGAGAACCCCTGACCAACCTCTAGGCCCTGGTCCTTATCACTCAACCGTTGTGGAGGAGGAAACTCGAAAAGGGTGCATCCTCTGTAAGTAGAGTGAATTCTTGAACTACCAGCTGCACTGCTTCCACTGTGTACCCTTCCACCTCTGATATCATACCACCAGGAGGCGTTCTGACAATCAGCTGCTGGATTTCAACGAGGTGTTCCACAAATGCAAGAGAAGCCTTCATATTTAGTCCTCGAATTGATGAGTATTATGGTTGAATAGTACATTGGGTGTTTAAAGATTCTTGCAGACGATGACATGGAAGCAGGAGGATTGCAATTCGCATTCGCCAAAAGCCTCTAGCACACTTCAGTGAGTGAGTACCTAGCTGCTTAGCCACGGCTCAGTGGAAATGACATTTTGGAGGAACGATGCACGTCTTTCAAAGAGGGCCATCCGACTGCATATCTGGGGTGTCAGAAACCATCTCAGACTTGGAGGTGCGTGACCAGCCGGCAGCCGCTTGAGGCACTTCCTTGAACACTCACCTCTACGAGTGCAGATCCGTGTGCATCGGACTGATGCATGGCCTGGCATGATATGCACGGTAGACAAAAAATCTACACGTGGAAGTTGGAGCATGGGAGATTATCACTGGCTTGAAGGTGACTCTACTCAAAGAAGCCAGAATTGTCCACTTTACATAATTACACCTGACAAAACTTGGGAGCATCCTATTACGTCCAGAAACCAAATGGACGTCCGAAACACTGACACCAAAGTAAAAGAGACCATTTATAAGTGGTTTGGTCACATTGGCAACTTTTATTTTTCACCGAAGCTTTGCATGCTAAGAATAGGATAAGAAAAGGTTAAATTCCACCATGGGTCCCTGTCCGATGCGAACACTCTCAAGGCCTCTTCCTCCAACCGTCTACTTTCTGCCATGTAAACTTCTTGCTCCTGTTTTTTAAGAAGAAGTTCTCTTTGTCATTGATAAAAACTCAAACACGCTAGTAATAAGTACCACTTTATTCTTAGGATCTGAGGTTTGACAATTAAGAGCACCTCTTTGCCATTCAACTTTTCGGAAATGTTCTACAACTGGAGATCTTTAGATTTTTCTTCCAGTGAACATTCATCAACTGTCAATTTTTCAAACCCTTCCATGGAAGATGTGCAACTATTTATCGAATCAAAAGCATTTTTATTTAAAATTGGCATTCACTTTGATGATCATCCATGTAGGCACCGATGCGTTGATGGGCTGACTTCGGTGGTCGAGGGAAAGTGGAGAGAGGCAATTGGCTTTGTGTGTACAACTGTGAAGTATCAACCAAGTCTCCTCGCGAGGGTCTGGTAAACGTTGTCAATCCAATTGTTTGTGGGGTTTCCCCCTCTAAAGCCATCTAAGGAGGGGTAAAGATTACTTTTCAACTAATTCCACCAATGGGGTATGAATTAGCGGTTCAGCTCCGAATTTCTAGCCAATAGGAAGCCCAACCTTGAAGCTGTCCAATCAGAAATTTCTTTGACAAATTATGAATAAAATGATTGGTTGAATATGTTAAGGCTACAATTTTAAACATTTCTTAGATCAGGATTACTTAATCACATCCCGATCAGTGTGGATAACATCAATATCTCCTACGGTCTGAGCCGCATGCCAATCTGTTTTGCCATGATTTGGTCGGATTTGATTACCATGATCTCACTGTGAAACAGATAAAAACACGATGAATTTTATTCGATATTTACGTGTATTTTAAATCGGAGCATGCTGTACAGCAAGCCAAAATGATACAGTTATGTTGTGTAACCTTTGATCCTAACATATGCGCATTTTCTGAAAATGGCTGCGTTCAAACAAATGACCGAACTTCGTGTGATTTTCCAGAAAAATTGTAACTTTAAGTTGTACGGTGTGTCAATTAGTAAAATTCTGAAAAGTGGAACGAACAAACGCTGTGATAAAGTGACGTTCAGTAATTATACCAAGGAAACCTCCCATCTACAATGGGTGGCTAAATTTGAGGCAGACTTGATCCAGAAGGTTTTTTGCAGAGATATCAGGCCTGAAAAGCCTTGACATAAACTGGACATAATGCTTCCTTGAGAGCTTTCTTTTTCGACACAGACTTCTACTAAAGACGAATGTTATGCAGAATTTGCCTGCTGTTGAATATTCTGTGGGCTTCAGTGCTACCTTTCAAGTGCAAACCTCATTGACACACTTTGTCTTTTTGTCACTCAAAATGTATATCAAGGCTCGTGGCTACCAAAGCAGAAGAAAAGAGGCCACGAGAGGTAAGGATTTTGGCACCCGGACATTGTGCAGGCACTTCAGTCTTGCGGGTTCTACTTCTCTTCTGTGGTATGACCTTAGGGTCATGCTGGTTGCCTCTCAGCCTTTCTCTACGCCAGTATGGTCTTCCCTACTCTTCCAGGATAGTAAGACTCATGCCGCTAAATAACGGGCCTATTTACATGCTGACGTCTTTAAATCACAGCCTTAGAAATGACTCGAGGTGGTGCATGGCAAAGGCCACAATTTTGCCCGCAAATTAGTCGCCTCAACAAAAAACAGACTCACCAATCCACGCTTCACTCGAGCATATTCACTGCTTTGGCTCATGTTGCTGTGATACTCAAAGTCTTGGGACCATGCCTCCAGAGGAGAGAAGAGTGTTTTTCCAGAGCAGTAGACTTTGGATCTGGATTTCTGATACCCCTCTATCAACTGACGAATCCTCCTCCTGTGACGGGACTTCAAAGGCAGAGGACGTGATCTTACAAAGTGATTTGATAACGGACCAGCACTTGAAAATAGGCTAATGTCTTGGACATTCGAATAGTATCTGGTTGTACACTAAATGGAGTACATTTACTTCAAACCGACACATTTGAGGCCATAAAGACGAGAAGTGACATATAAGGCATAAAAACCCATTTGTTTTAATGTAGAGCAACCCGCAGTATTTATTCGCTCATCTCAGTGGCTAAATGAAACATGGAAGTCCTCAGCACAGAAGGACTTCTCAGAAGAGTTGGACAATCCTAGAATGGCATCCTGCACTTGTCAAAGGGAGAGAACCGGCTTAGAAGCAATCATCTGCTAACATTTCGAAATAGCTCGTTTTTAGGGACTCGTCTTTTATGGATAGGTGTCAGTCAGTTGAGCGCCTTCAAAGCTGTCCGTGGGTTCATTTTTGCATATGACCACTGTGCACCTTCCGTAATTCAAGCAAGGAAGTTAAGTGTCATACGTGTGAATTCAAATACCCATGCATGGTCTAAGTTTATTCTTTGATTATGGAATAAAGTTAGAAATACTAACAAGAGCTAATTACATAGTATAGTCCGGCTCGAGCTCTGCCTCGGGTGAGAGGCGGATTAGGGTTGAAGTAAGGCCAAGGAGGTGGAAGGACGTGGTGCAGAAAGGCAACTCAAAAGAACATTTCACCTCTCTGTGTTGCTCTTGAAGCAGTCACGAGGCCACAAAACTGCCGCAGACACACGGATGCACAGGTGGACCGGAGCTGGCAGCTTAATTCCACAGATGAACTTAAGTAGGGTGAATGATCAGATGCTGGAGTGGAAAGGGATGTTGACAGAGAGCCGAAATCTCCACCAACAAGACGTGAGCACTGCCTCTTTCTCACTATTGCGAGACCGGATTACCTCTACTGGCGCGAAGCCTGCCACAAGACTGGAGTCGTCACAACTCTCTAGCAGTGAGAATCATTGAAGGAGAGGAAGGTCGTGCAGATCGCTGGATGGTGTGGGCGACTGTGTGACAGGAGAGCGACATCACTTCAAGGTATTTACGTGTTTATTCACCTGGACTTCCTTCACACCTCATGGATCTTGATCGCCAATTCAGTGTCATTCCTTCCGCGTTCATGTCACGTCTGACCTCAGTCCATTAGTCATCCAGTATTAGTGGTAGCTCGTAGCTTCCTTATTTTGAGGGAACCTCAAAATGGCCTTCCAAGAATAACTCGAGACTTGCAACCAAACACACACACGCCTCGATGACCCAACTACCAACTTTGACAACGAAAGAAGGGCAGAAAACAGACATAGAGGTAGAAATCTGAACGCTAATTGGCATGCCTTTGATTATGTCTCCTACTCAAGCCCAGTTTTAAGCTGGACACTTTGTCAACAACTGTGAAGAGACGGTGGACCCCATTCTACGAAGTGGCGTTGGTCAATTCCTCTGGTATACTGACACCAGTTGTGGAAGGGACATCACCTTATGGTTCACGCTCCAAGTTCAAAGGTGCTCAATGGAGGTGATGCTTCCACCGAACCGTGACGCAGTCAAATGCAGTGCTGTGGTCTTCGTGGAGCTATGGAAGGGCATGCACATTGCTGACGTAAGTATGCATGAGCTTGTGGGCTACTGGCATGTTCGGAAGACCACGCAACAGAGCAAAGCGCAAGCACATCCTGTGCAGACTCAAGTGTCTACGTGGTTCAACCTTCACAGAGTCAGACGAAACACTAAACCACCCCACGGAGATGATCTGTGGAGGGTCATCTTTTGTGAATGCGGCTTCATTTCCTCCCCATGGAGTAAAGTTGGATGTAAAATTCTTCGTTTTGTTCTTGTGAGTGTGTAGAGAAAAGCAAATGAATGGGGCCACCACGCGCTTCAAGGGAACCTCAAAACGCTGAAGTACTCTATATAATGGGAAAAAAAGGTGAGGAGATGGATAGAGGAGCATTGACGCTGATCAAGTGGATGGATGAGGGAGTTAGCGAGGGGTGGAATGGAGTGAAGGCACCATCGCGAATTCGTGTAGCATGTGTCAGCACAACAGAGCACAGGCCACCTAATGCATTATTCAAATCACCTGTCAGAGTTCAAGCACCAATTTTTTTAAAAAAAGGAATTAATTTATGTGAAATCCCCATCTATGTCGCCTGTCGAAAAGAAGTGAAGAAAGTTAAGCAGATGCAGCATGTGAAGGGAGTTAACGCCCCACTTGGGGCAGGTAAATAGTTTGGTCCGATTTCCAGAAAAGAAGACAGAAGGCACCCTCGATTTTATCCTCGGACCATTAGAACATATATTAAATTTCCTTGAACTGAGGACAAAGGGTACACCGCGAAAGGGACCCAGTTCTTCGTTAAGTGGCGTGATCGAGTCTCCTCTGACTCCGAGCCCGACCTCGTCTGCGAACGCGCTGATTGGCTGGCGGCAATCGCATTCGCGAGATAAGTGGAAATGAACTCTTCCTCTTCTGTTTCTCAAAAGAATTCTGGAAGTAGCGTTCCGTAATGTGCATGAATCTCTATAGACATGTCTTAGACAGGACGGTCAAGTGAAACCTCAAAAATGTGATTCCGGGTGTCTGCATGACCCAAAGAGATGGGTTAGTGGTGCTGACTATGTCAAGATGATGCGGCCGTTGATAAATTTAGCAAGAAAATTTGTCAAAAAGTTAAAGCAATAGACATTTTTAGACACTTCTTTTATTTCAAAATCCCTAAAGCCGCGAAATGCCTTGACAGCCCCTGCCCAAGGCGTGGCCCCGGAGACTCATGCACATTACGGCACGCCTTGAGGGACAACGATTGGAGCACCAAAGCATCGTAGAGCCATTTGACACACGATCAAACGAAACCACGCACAGAAGAGCATAAAAGACTGCAGCGTGTACAGATGCCAACAGCCGGCATCGAATTGAAGGTCTAGTTAACTACACTGCACCTCTCCTCCCCCTCCCCCAAAGCTTTTACGCCCTTCCACGGGGTCCTCTTCAAAAAGTAAAAAAAAAAGAAAGAACATTTGACACCTGTTTTGATGATCAATGCATGAAACCAACTAGACCTCTCGGAAAGGGAAGGTGACTTTACTCCTGCAGTCTTGTTGAAAAATTCAAACCGATTTACTTACCCACCGAGAGTACGGCCTAGACTTTCTCCACACACACTATTCACCGCATTCCCTCCATTTCTTTTTGAGAGATGTGGTGTATTTGCATAAAAAAGCGTCTTTTTTTTATTTTCAAAAAGCTTTGCATCTGCCTGTGAACTCTGACAGGTGATTTGAATAATGCATTCGGCAGCCTGTGCTCCGCTTTGCTGTGCTGTGACATGGTCTACAAATCCGCGATGGTGCCTTCACTCACTCATTTACTCACGAGATCCATATCGTTTGATGGTTTTAATGAATTTCCTTTTCTTCTTTCCTTCTTGTCAACTTTTCTAACTTACGTGAAGTACGCCTACTTTGCATAGGACTGACGTTCAATTGGGGCAGGTGATGGTTCTGCCTATTTGTTTTTTTTTCTCCACATCTACAGAAACAAATCAAAGGATTCTACATCCGACTCTACTCCGTAAGAAGGAAATTGAATCAAGGCTTTCAAAAGTTGATCCTCCACAGGTCATTTCTGGAGCGTGCTCTGGTGCCTTTTCTTACTGTGTGAGTGGTGAACTACACGGATACTTGAGTCTTCACAGGTTGTGCTTGCGCTTTGCTCTGTTGCGTGGTCTTCCGAACATGCCAGTAGCCCACAAGCTCATGCATACTTACGTCAGCAATGTGCATGTCCTTCCATAGCTCCACGAAGACCACAGCACTGCATTTGACTGCGTCACGGTACGGTGGAAGCATCACCTCCATTGAGCACCTTTGAACTTGGAGCGTGAACCATAAGGTGATGTCCCTTCCACAACTGGTGTCAGTATACCAGAGGAATTGACCAACGCCACTTCGTAGAATGGGGTCCACCGTCTCTTCACAGTTGTTGACAAAGTGTCCAGCTTAAAACTGGGCTTGAGTAGGAGACATAATCAAAGGCATGCCAATTAGCGGTCAGATTTCTACCTCTATGTCTGTTTTCTGCCCTTCTTTCGTTGTCAAAGTTGGTAGTCGGGTCATCGAGGCGTGTGTGTGTTTGGTTGCAAGTCTCGAGTTATTCTTGGAAGGTCATTTCGAGGCTATGTGTGCGGGAAGACCCAGAAAGTCCGACGAGCCGTTTACGGAAGTGGCATGAGAGAGGAAGAAGTAGCATCGAATTGGTGATTGAGATTCATGAGATATGTAGGAAGTCTACGTGGTCGAACACGTAAATACCTTGACGTGATGTCGCTCTCCTGTCACACAGTCGCCCACACCATCCAGTGATCCTCACGATTTTCCTCTCCTCTACTGATTCTCACTAGCACAGGTTTGTGACGACTCCAATCTCGTGGCAGACTTCGTGTTAATAGAGTCAATCGTGTCTGGCGATTGTGAGTGAGAGGCTGTGCTGAAATCTTGTTGCTGGAGTTTTCGACTCTCTGCCAACATCCCTTTCCACTCCAGCAGTAGAATAATCACTCTTCTTTATTTCATCTGTGCATTTGGTCTCTCCGCTCCAGTTCGTCTGTGCACCTGTGTGTCTGCGCCAGTTTTGTGGCCTTGTGACTGTTTCAAGAGCAATAGAGCGCAAGTGGAATTTCCCCCTCCGTTTGAGTGACATCTAGGTGAACAAAAATGTAGGCCAAAACGCGACTTCATCAGCCCAGCTTCTTGAAGTCCTTTTGTCCGTAAAATAAAGTTGCACTCGTCCCTCTACCTGTGCTTTCCTTTAATTGTTTACCTAGTTATTTTGCTTCTTTAGGCTTATCAGATTAGACCCAGTGCCGCTGAATTGATATGAGTAGCCAGTACGAGAGTTTGGTTGATTTGGAAGTACACTTTTTAGCGAATTTACTTAATAAATCAAATTTTATTATCGCCTTAAAAGTCAGTTTTTAAAATTAACACGTAGTTGTGAGCATGAAACTCCTGTTTTTTCAGCAAAGTCTTTTAATCCCAAAAGCATTAATCTTCCCTTGGATGGTAACCCCTCTCGACTTACCCACTCCTTAGAAGAAAGTTGTCAATCCCCAAGCGTCATTTTTTCTAATTTTACGAGTTTTATCAGTTGTCTGTTAAGCCGAGGGTGGTTGACACCTACACCGCTATCGTCACATATGTGTGACAACCCAATTTTTGCGCCTGACTAGGACGCCTCAACACATTTGTAACGCAAATGCTTCCATGGGCTCACGGTAAAGACCGACTACGCAAAACCGTGTCATAAAGTTGAATTGACTTGAAATAATGCGGAAAAAAGTGCATTCTCCCTTTCATGGAAGTGACACGAGGTCCGAAGAAGAGCAGACCATCTGGTCAGTCGTAGTGGTAGGCTACCAAACCTAGCGAAACGATGGTATAATTAGGATTAAGACTGAAATATCTTCAGCCTAAAAAGTGCGCCGACGTACTGTTTCAACAGGGGCATTGCTTTTTATGTTGAATTGGAAGCTCGCCTTTGGTGACACAATTTGGCCTCGTTCATGATCCAAAAGCTCTCACTTGTGTCAAAGAGTGTCCAGGCTTAAAAGGGTAGACTAAACGATGGACTTCAAAAGTGGCGTTTTAAATGATCTAATTGTAGCCAATGCAATGTAGACTATGTGCTGAGGCGCATGTTGTAGGTCAGTTCAGCTTAGATACCGTTTCCACAGGTGGAAGTCGTGCCACCTGCCTGAATGTAACAATGTTTGGTGATAATCGACCTTTCTTTTCCACGAAGGTGTACAATCCAAACCGAACTTGTATTTGCAGAATACTTCGGGAATGGCTTTTTGATGAGCTACGGTGGTGGAACCTTTAGTCATTAAGGCGAAAAAAGATGTCTAGGTTGAGTGGTAGAAAGCTCTTAAAGGGAAATGGTGGTGAAGGGGTAACTTGGGTGTTGTGTTGCCGTCATTATATGCCAAATGGCAGTAAACGAGCTAATAATCCAACTTTCTTGGGTCAGTACTTCGTCAGAAATGCAAAGCAGAAGGTACCCTTCCATACTAATGCCGTAAGTCGAGGAATGCACACGTAACGCGCCTTCCTGAGCCTGCTTTCAACTCTATCCCCTACTTGAGGATCTCGACGCGAGGTAAGTGACCCCGTAAAGAGTGATTGGGATGGAAAATAATAAGCAAGCGGTTGACAGATCTAACCCCCCCTCCCACCAATGGACTTAGCAACGAAGACTACGGACTGATTTTACTACCCTCCTGTAGGGTCCTCTATTGGATCTAAGAGATGGCTTCAAGTCTTTTAGATTGAAATCGAGGAGTGACCCCATGAAGACGCTTCGACGTTAATAGACCTCATCGAAGGAATGACATCTGCGTCCCTTAAACCTTTTTAGCAGCTACACTTATTTCTCTCCTCTTTTTGTGGTACTGCTAGCCATTCTTCCTATGGTCAATAATGTGGTTGCATGAACAAGGAGGTCAAGGTCACCTTTAAGTGGGCGATGGAGGTAGTCCATCCCAGGAGGAGGCAGACGATGACGAAGGCGCCACAGAGTATCACAGTGAGGAGAACTATCTAGCAAGTCAAATACAAAGCTACGTAGTGGTTTTAACGCAGTGAGTTTTCTAGCTTTATTTTTCCACTATTGTATCTAGCGGTGAGGTGTCCCTATCGGCATATTTACATTTTTGTCTGTGCATCTTAAAAAAGTTAATAATAACCGCATTTGGCAACGGTTAACGGAAACTTAATATCCAAGCTTAATTTAGGTAATTTTTTGCGCGAACTTTAACGGTCAGGCGAGTAAATACGATTAGTGTGAATTCAAATATGTTAGATGGCGTTAGTAAACAACATGTAAACGATAAAACAAATAAATTGAATCTAGGCAAATACAGAAAACAGACAGGTAAAAAGGCAAACAATAGGACAAGCTAAGAAAATAAATCCAAAACAATACATAAGGGACGAAACCTAAGTGCAAATAAGGAGGTAATATGGATGAGGGGAAATTTAACAATATGCGTCAATGAGGCGCATAATTATACGACATAATCTGCTATTTTAGAGTAAAGGTGTAGAATTTTTACTTTTTTGAAAAAAATCATGTTAATTAAACTAACTTACTGATCACCAACTGATTCCTAAGTCGAGATGTTTTGACCCTAGCTTTCCTTTCAGTTAAAAAAGGCAAACAATTTTGGGTTTACCATAAGATTCGGCCAAGACGAACAACTTAGGTAATTTCAAGAAAAAGCACTACAAAGTGGTGAGGAAGGCAAATTTCACCACAATTTACTGACGCGTATGTGCCAAAAAAGAGGAATGACAATGTTTGACTATCTCCTAAACTTACTTCCGGTGTCCATTTGAATTGTTTGAACTGAAAACTTTCCGTTGAAGTTGCCGGCACTGTCACCAATGCATCCCGCACAGTTACCGCTGTTGACAGATTTTCCTGAAACCATATATTTGCCTAATGCCTTACTGTGAAATAGACGTTTTGACTCAAAAAAGGAATTCCGTGGATAATTAGCAGCAGCAAAAAAAAACGAACGAAGAACTTACCGCCACAGTTTTGTCTCCTAAAGTGTCCATGGACATACTCAAATTCGTCGGTTCCTCCGAGGTCACGATAGGATCTCCAACTGCAGTCATCGACGGTTCGCCTTCTGAGGCCTCGCTGAATGTTGTGACCCTCTCAGTGGTCACATCGACATCACTTGCCACGGTGATATTCATCGTGCTACCTAAGCAGCATTCACTTCTCCGAGGAATTGTTGGGACCGTGCTTAGCCAGGCGCGGTGATTCGAATTACGGGATTCTGATTGGTTGGTGTGTGCAGCTTGACGCACAGAAATACTTCTGATTTATTGGAAGGTTTGACTGCGATCACTACCTTCGCATGTGTGTGTGCATGGAAGTGCTATCGCAGACACTGTTTCTCTCTTCTACCTCTGCTCTTTAACCCTTAAAACGGGAGGATTGATAGATGGGGCCAAAAGTGGGCCGGAGTTCCTTTCTCCTCAGAGTCCAATGGCGTCCACTTAGTTTAGAGTTTGGTGTGTGCTGACAGCTTTCCACATAAGGGATACAACCGTCCCATAGTTCAGGTTCCTTGTAACACAACTACTTGACCGACTTTTTTAAGATGAAGACAAAGTAATGATATGCTATGGATTTAATTTGCCTCTTGATTAGCCTTACATAAATTTTATCACCTTATTCACGCTACGTTGAGGCACCAACACGTCCAAATCAGTGCAATCATTGCATTTTACACTTTAGTCAGTGGTTTGGAAAGGAAGGCTATCTCTAGTTGACAGCTTTGATGATGGTTTCGCCGATGGTGGCGGTGACGCTGAAATGGATATAAGTAGTAGCCAAATCGATTACTCGTAAAATTGATGACAACCCCTCAAATGGCTTACCTTTCTTGCCTTACTGAATACACTTGATTGATGCAAGGACATCTTACGTGAATTCGAGCTCATATTCTCTCGTTCAACACGTATAACCAGAAATGATACTGAACCAGTATTTCCTACTTCAAATGGTTGACGTCCATGCCACGGTTGAGCTCTTACAAACCCTTCCCGTCAGCAGTGATTGGAGGTGACAGCCCACGCGTGCAGTGATACACCCTGTCTCCTTCGATTAACTAAAACCTACAACCCCAACCCGCGGAAATTGACTCCTGTCTATTGAAGAGTAGATAGGACCGTCTATTAGTGTCGGTCCGGACAGCTGTGGTCCTCAAACCACAGCACTCAACTGACTCCAAGGGGCCTACGGTTCTCCAAGGCTGGTATTTCGGCCATTTGCCGGGTTGGCAATTTTAAAGAGATAAATGCTTAAGCGCAGCCCTCGAAAACCCGGATTTACCTTTTCCATTAACGAAGTGTTATCTGTTCAATTGTGAGACAACGACTTCTGCTACCATGATTGACTCTAGGCCCAGAAGACGGGGTCATAGGGCGGTCAGAAGACAGGCTTCCTGTGCATAGGACTTTGTGTCCAAAAGGGGGTATCATTTTCCTAACATTGTCAATGTCAAGGCCTTGAATTGGACATCTTCGTATTGCTCACACATAGACAGCATGGAGTTCGACAAACGCATCCACTCAGTGATGCTTTAGATGAAAGAATTCATCTTCTGTAAGTTGGTCTACTAATTTAGCTACTGAGTAGCATCTTCGGGATGGAATACTAAAGCAGCACTACGATGAGTCATGGCAGGGATACTAGAACATTAAAGGCACTCATTGAAAAAGATCGGCCACTCTTAGGCCGAGTAACCATCTCGCGGATGCATCGTGACAGAAAAGCCTTCAGTCTAACCCTATATTTAACCGCGCAGGTTCCCCTTGCCTCGAAGTCTATCCCTCCGTCTCGGTGGCATGGTGAACCAGACCCTCTACGCGGCAATAGCGTCTACCGATCTTCGATAGTGGTGTGCCTCATTGTGCCCTTGGAGGTGACCCCACTACACAATAACCTGTGGCTGGTGGCGTATAGCATCCGAATTCCTCCTGAAGACGTCATGGGTTGTGGACGAAACTCCTCAACTCTCCCTCCTTCCCCCCAAGGACGGTGCCCTGCAGCCATGGAAACCCAAGTACCCGCCTCATGAGCATCGGCTTGGTGTGGAGAATATGTGCTTTTCAGCACCCACGTGGCATCATGGCTAAGCAGTGCTGAAATGGAAAACCGGTAACGTCTATTAGGTGATCCACACGTCGGCAGGCATTATTCACGACATCTTCGTGGGAACTTGAAGCAACAACAAGTCAGGAAGCGAAGATTACAAATACGCCAACACAGGGGAAATCCAGTGCTCTGGAGATGGAATGCACGGTGGACACACTTCGAGACGGAGACACCACCTCTTCCCGCACACAACAGCCATCACTGACTCCACTGTAGGAGTCCCAAGAGGGTAGAAGAAGAGACGTGAGGCATTAAACAACAGGTGGAAATTAGGCGAGTGGGGTAGGTACAAAGGTCAGCACAAAGCCTCAAACGAGCAACTTCTTCGCGTCCACAGAGACCAGATCGCGCACCATTGTCACCGACCTCTGCCACTCCGCCAACCGATTCGCCATACTGGTGATCTGCAGTAAAGGAGACACAGTAAACTCGAGTTCCACTGTCGACAGGAGTTTGACCGACAACAGAATGTTGAATGGAGGTCATACAGGCAAGGCGCGGGCACAGTCCGATCTGACTATCGGGAAAAGTGGGCTAAACGTCCACATTTCGACCCGAAAAAGGGGACAACGACAGGGAGGACAAGATCAGGAAAGAGCACAAAGGAATCGGCGAGTGCTAATGATACAGGGGCAAAAGTGAGAGACCAAACAATTGACCTTTCTGAGAAGAAGACCCAAGTAACCTGTTTTTGCAGAGACGCGTACACAATGGAAAGAAAGACTTCGTTTACTGAAGACACGACTAAGGCGAAGGCTACCAACCGCATCCATAGACGCCATATAAGAGGCCAAACGTTGTTATGGGGATCCAGGGGAGAGGCAATACGGCGAATCAACCACCTTCTACTGAAGCACATTCAGTACCAAAGGTAAGAAAATAAGGGGGGAAGTTGACAAGTGGCGATAATCCAGTAAAAGAAAAACCACCAGCCAGTGGGGTGGGGAGCATACCTGATCGAGGTCAAGAACACGAGGTTGGAGCCAGGTGAGGGTGACCTTCTGATTCACCTCATCGATGCGTCCCTTCATGAGATTGAGGGAGAGTGCCCGCATTACTATGCCCTCCACCTGGAAGAGAAGAGCGCCTGTCGCCTCAATGTGAACTAATCAGGCAAAGCCGTCTCCTACCAGCCTGGCCAATTTGAAATGGATGCAATCCATACGTAGACGGATTTGATGGGTTATGTGTTAAAACATGATTAGTGTAAAATGATAAACGGACTCTCAAAAAAATTAAAACGCTAATATGTTCACAAAGACAACGCACCTTATCAAGCGGCGATTTGGTGGCCATGGCAATGTCCGTAAAGCTGACAGTGCGTTGGTTGGGCGGCCGGCGGAAGAACATCTCCATGAGAGCGAGGAGGAGAGCCTTCTCCTGTAGAAGCTCGCACGCATCCGAAAGATCCTTTACTGCCGACCATTGAGGCCGCAGCTGCAGTATGGTATCCAGATCCCCCTTGTTGAAAGCGTGGAGCAGATCCACGAGCCACGCCACATCCGGCTTCAATCGTAGCGTCTCCAAGATCTCATGCGATATCTACAAATGGGAAGGATAAACAACCTTCAGAAAAGAGCTTCGAGTGTGCACGGACAGTAGTTCCGGTTGTTGGTCCCACCACCATACTACATCCGTCTTTTAGTAAAAGGTGTCCATGACCTCACTGAAAATCTACAAACCCCGAATACAGATATGGCTTGTAATATCGGCTACTTGCTCTAAGACGAGCTCATTAGTTAATCAGTGACGTTGCCTTTTTTCGATTATAAGTATATACGTCCTCAGGAAATCCGAATAACAGCTACTAGAGTAAGGCCACTTTGACAGTCGGACATCATTGATAGACATAATTGCAAATGGAATAAGTTACATACATTAAGAGGAGGAAAGGCGTGTCCCTCTGCAGTCATAATACTCTGCCCTACCAGATCAACACACATTTAGCTTACACATGAGTCCTTAGGACATGATAATTGGTTTGAATTAATCACAATATGAATGCACCAATATGTCCATTTTGAGGGATTTCCTCTGAATGGAATCCAGGTTGTGTTCTTTTTATGCTATAAGCGCAGCAAAGTTGCAATTGTCGAAAGCTCCGAGCCACAGCAGCAATTCATCTACTTACACGCTGTTGCAACTTGACTATTCAGGTAGCCAAACAAGAGTGTTGAAGGTAAGACCAAAAAGACCACTCACATCGTTCCTTAAAGGTGTTGACAGTGATTTTTAATAGACACTGCCAGTACGTCAGCTCACTACATTAATCTCACTTAAAAACCAGGGAAAGGTTTCGTTTTGGTGTCACACTAGAATATAATAGGAAAAATTGGACTAGTAGAATACAAGCCGGAAACCATGTCCAAAAGATACTCAATTCAGTTGCTCTTGGTGAATCAAAGGATGTTAAAGTGAGCCTTGTGGCATTTCGCCTTAACATTTAGAAAGAACGTTACCAAATTTTTAAACATTAACTTTCCCTCGGCCAAGAAGTTGCATGGAAATTGCAAGAATTCCAAATATGTGCGCATGACACTCGAACGTACTAATTCACCGAAATTGTATACATTCCGACCAAGAAGAGCCGCGAGACCGACGGAGAAAGCCCAATCCTGTTTCTCCGTTTCAGAGAGTTCAGATAAGTCGGTGCAACCGAGAAAGCGAAGAGCCTCCTGATAGTACTCCGCGTGCTGACCCATGAGCTAAATAAATGCGTAACTTGAGTAGGAAAAAGAACAAAGACCGAGTAACTATTGCCAGAGTTAATGCTGACCTTAAAGTACTGAGAGCTCATTCGATAGTATCGCGAATGGACAGGAGTGACCCCATCAATTTTCGACAAAATGTCACCCGTAGCTTCGATAATATCACGAGCACCAGGTAGATCTTGAAGAATGAGGAGACGAATCATGCCGATCGTTGACTGGGCCAAGATTAGAGCCTCATCATTCATGCCCATATACTAAGATGGAGAGTTGGGAGAGAATAGCAACTCACCTTGTCGCGATTTTCTTCGAGAAATTTAATGGTGCTTTGTGGATCTAAAGACGATTACGCGAACGCCGAAACACACCTTTTGTCACCATCTCATTGCTCATCGGTACCAAAATTTCAGCGAGTGAAAGTGGATTAATCCTATCATTTTAAATCAATACTAATCCGATCAATTACTTCGCTTTGATGGAATTGAGAAGCTGTTGATCAAACTAAAAGAGTGTACGGATGAGAAGAATACCTACTTCATTTAAGTCTATCGAGGCCGTAAACCCAGGCTTGTTTAGACTCTCTAAAACCTGCAATGTCAATTGATGCCAGAGTCTAGAGTATGTAAAAATCCAAATGTTAAAATACTTTCTAGAATATAAATCCCGTATTTGGGTCCAATCGTCCTTAAAACTCTTAGCGTTCTTAATTCGTGCATCAAGATACTCCATACCCGACGGCAAGTGATAAAGGCTGAAACTCAAGTGGTGCAGAGTTCGGCTAGGAAACTATAACAAATTAATACATCTAATAAAGCATCAAGCTGCTTGGTACTTACAAAGAGTTATGCTCACTTAGGTCAAGCACAGCCTAAAGTAACTTTATAAATGGGTTTTATGTGAGGCTTTGCATCTGTTTTATTGAATGAGATATTTAGCAATAATATACGCCCAAACTAATGATAGTTGGGCTAAAAATTAGCCATTATAAAGTTGTGATAGGGTAAGTAGTGTAACAATACCATTATAAAAGCTGCAGTTTTCTTCCAGCTTGCACAATGGCCAGGAATCTTCGGTTTCAGGCCGTAAGAACTGTAGAGGCTAAATGGACAGCGTAGACGACCTATTGTAATACGATAGTGGTTTATCCCTCGGTTCTGATGAGGCGCCACTTTTGGACTTTGAATTATCTCCCTTGTACCTAGCAGGGTGGGCTGGCCTTTTGGCCATGCCAGTAGCCCAGACACCTTCTCCGTGCTGAATATAAATTCTGCCCGAGTATTGTGTCTTCTTTCGTCTTCAGGGAATCTCGGCACGCTACACTGTTATCTAATTTTCACGATCAGTCAAAGCACTACAAACAAATCGATTATTGGACATTGGCTCCCATCATAGGTCAGTAATAATTTTACACACACTCTTAACTCAAATGGAGGATCTACTGGGGTTCATAGTGCATGCTCATGTGGTACGATAGTAGTTTATCCCTCAGTACTGGTGAGGTGACACTCTTGTACCCTGCTGGGTGGGATGGCCTTCGGGCCATGCTGGTACCGCAATAACTTCTCTCTGCTGAATATACATTTCTGAAGATGAAAGAAGACACAATAATCAGGTGGAATGTACATTTAGTGCAGAGAGGGTGTTTGGACTATCGGCATGTCCCGAAAGGCCAGCCCACCTAGCGGGGTACAAAAAGGTTACTTCAAGGTAAAGTGGCGCCTCACCGATACCGAGGGATAAACCACTATCGTATTACACTGTGCCCCTTTAAACCAAAAAACAATTTCAGTTTTGGACTAACTAGTCCTAATTGATTCGTGGATAATTCTGTCGTTTGTTAATCAGATTTGGAAGTAACGATGCATACTTTCACATTGCAAGGACTGTTTCGTTCGGCTTGTAAGGCACTGCTTAGGTTCGGGCTTAAAAGTATGTATAAGTTTTCCCACAAAGATGTGAAATACACTCTGTATCACAAACTACGAGGATTTGGTATTTTGTTTATATGTATCTGATAAACTAGGACAAACGCAAATTGCCCAACAGAATCACCCATTGGTTTTTTAGGATGAATGTGTTGCACGGCATAGTCCGTGTCCATATACCTGAGTTGCTTGCTTCAGTACCTATCCCCGAGACTTTTTCTGGCCTTTTTTCACTGTCACGTATGCAGATTGTCAAATTTTAAGCGTTTAGTTAGGGAGCTTGTCGGGTTAACCATTTTCAGTGGTGTTTCTGCTGCTCTAGGTTACTCCGTGTATTTCACAATGAAAAACCGATACTTTTCCAAACACGTTAATACCCTAATTAAAAAGGACCAAGAGAAGGTGGTTGACTTTATTGATATCGAGTCAATTGGGAGGAAAGCTGTTTACTGCCGCTGCTGGAAATCAAAGAAGGCAAGACACCCTGTTTTTTTCTCACTACATCCATAGTTCCCACTTTGCGATGGTGCTCACAATGCGCACAACGCGGAGACTGGTGACAACGTAGGCCCGCTCATCATTGAGGCAAAGAAAAGTGCCTAAATCAGGAAGGGACATTATGATAGCGCCACCAAAAGTCGATTCACCACGGTTTTTTGCCCCTGACAAAGCGCATTCTTTAAATATATTTATAGCCGCACTAAACGCCTTCATTTTTCTGCGTTGGTTACATTATTTTACTTGCAATTGATTAGTGTTCACTACACTAAATTAGTGTACATCTACTTTGTTTGGCGAGAGATATTTCTGCGGTGCAACTTTTTCTCACAAAAGACTTTGGTTCTGTGTCTAATAAAATTACGTCGACGAGGTCTGACCTCCAGTGAGTGCTGATTTATGTGCAAGCCTGTCATAACTACAGCTTGCACTCTGTCCATGTAGTAAAAGTTTTTTTTGCTTGGTAAACATGCCACTAGGGTGCCTGGAAGATGTTCAGTCATTCGCCATCAGCGCCACATAAAAGCGACTCCTCGATTGCTTTAAGTGCCGTCGCAAGGCAGCACACTTTAAAAGATGTGAAATAGAGGGCGGAGACGCAAATTGAATGCTGGTTGGTGTCGCCTTAAGGCAGTGGATCACCTGGGCTGCCGAGGTAGATTTTCCTACGAGTCTGGTAGTGGGGGTGACAAGCTCACTGATTATTTCATAGGTCTCTCATGTTGGAGGCAGAATTGCGAGGCGCATGGTGCTTGAGGTCCAAAATCGAGGGATTAGCTAACGTGGTGTTCCACTGTTGAAAACCCGGCAAGCGCCAAAATTATTCTCTTGAGAAGCAACTCTACGTTGCAGTTGTAGGTTGACACGATTGCAAATAATCTTCTGGTGGGTCTAGGGTAGAGGTACAGCGCCCTCCTCTACTATTTATTTTTAGTGACCAGGTGGATCACTTCGCCCAACCTGACCTTACTCGCACAGTCCTTGATTTATGCTTGCAACTGACACTTTGGCAAAGTGTGATGTCGAATGCCAGGATGAATAACCACGGTAAATGGGTGGAGGCAGACCCGAGAGAAGTACATTGTAGGAAAATTGAAGATCACTTTTATCAGTACCTACCCCATTGTCCCTACTTAAATATATTTCAGCGTCCTGACAATTCAGGCCTTCTTCCTATAGATCTTAGTCAATTTAGAGGTGAGACTTACAAATGCTAACTGCATTAAATTGTAAATGTAAAGTTGGTAGAAATAGTATTGAGGTCATCTTATGATGACTCAGGCAACCTACTCTTTGACGCGCGATTTTAGTGGCGGCACTTTTTTCGGTGATGTTGGCAAAGGTAGAGTTCACGTTTCTTGTTTGATGAGAAAAATAAAGACAAAGCCTTCCTTGCTAGTTGATCATTGAGGATTGCAAAGACTATAATGAGGGACTCGCAGTCGAGGAAGTTGTCGCACACTAACCTGTAGGTGTCTACCATTCAACACCCTGCATGCATGGCTAAACGTCCTGCCCTTATTTGCTCGTCACAATGATTTAATGCCGGTTGCCGAATGCACACTTATTTGATGATGCCTTTAATCATGTGATGAAATATGCGGGCACTTGAGGTTCCATGAGTTGCATTTCTGCCCATCTTTACAATCATCGGTTCTTGCTAACAGCTTTCTAACACTCCAGGATGTCGGCATTATAGCTTTACATGTGGAAGCAAGTAAACAAACTGATATTTATGCCTAGGATTTAAACAATTTTTGTGGAAATGGAGCAGGAGTTTTTGCCGTGTGCTCATCTCTCAAGGTGTTGGTATTCATGAAATGAGAAAGAGAACTAGTACTAGACCATGTCACCAGTGTGGAGCGAGACTCCTCGGTCTCTGCTTCCCTATTCCTAGCGTTCCTAGACAAGCCCAGTTGATTCGCTCTGGACATCTTTATTAAAGGTGACAAGATGGATAGGGAAAATACAATATTCAAGAAGGAGGGGAGCCGCAGTCACTAGGTAAGGGAGAGGACGATCCGGTCACGAGATTCGAATTTCCTGATTGCCTCCTCCCTGAAAGGCACATTAAAACAGCATAAGTACTACAATAGAATTCGGGATTTGGTGCTCATGCGTATCAGGCGAATCAAATAGTGGACCATAAAATGCATGCTTGCTAGTATGTGTAGGCAGTCACTTAATAATTAAATTTCTTACAGCAAATGAGTCATGATGTTTAGTTTGTATAAGATATGCTACACCCTGCAATTTATGTGCAATAGTTCGACTAATATAAAGAGAAGATGTCAGTTCGCCTCCAAAGCCGAATTTGTATGGCACTGCAGTAGATTCCTAGCTAGCCTCTTTCATTTTGGTCTGCAGACTTTTTGAAGGAACAGAGGGTTTGATAAGTTTATTTCCATTAATGATCGTTATCGAAGTGAATACGAGTCAGGGGTATGCGCACTCTAGACTCTCGTCTATCTTAAGGAATTCTAACAGCATTTTGGTACAAAATTTGTTTTTCTTGATCGATTTTCATACGACTGTTACATCTAAGCAAAGTATGTTTTACTGTAGTTTATACCTAATAATCACAGTCCGAATTCTAAAAGCAGACACGCAAACGAAAAATAACAAAATTTTTACAGTTTTGAGGCCAAATTTTTAGTTTTAAAAAAGGTGAAGCGAGAGTTATGGATTTGCGCTTGTCTACGTGCGCCTTTTGAAGGCCATCATGCATGCCTTCCTCAAATGTAGCCTATTTTGTCGGTGATTGTGCCTTAGACCCATCCCCTCAATATTCATGGTCAAACAATGTACATAGGCTGCTTTTCTACGATACTTTTCCTTCTTTTCGATTTCAGTTGTATATACGGGAAGGGCGTGAACCAGTGTAAGTGCCTGACTCATGTCTCAGGTGCTACGATGTGGTCTATAGTATTTTTACTGCAGCTATATCCCGTGGTCAATTTTTACTAAAGTTGATTTGTGCTACCAAATAATCTTACAAATTGTTAATACGTCAGTGCTGGTCCTTACTCGTGCTCCTTGTAATTGCTCTGTTGTTGTTTTCGTTACTTGCTAACCGTGCACATGTTTTTACACACAGATTTTATTGTTCTCTTCAAAGCATATCACAGTGAAGAGTTTCGACAATCAGCAATTGTTTCTATTCTCGATGATTTTGTGCCATATTTCTCATTTGTGTATCGGAATTATTCGTTCATGGAGCATTTGTTCCTAAGTGACTTTGAAATAATAGAGGTTAGTGTCATTTCTTCTTGGGTAACCTGTTTCCACTCCTTTAGACACGTAATCTGAACCGGACAGGAATTGCAGATCTGATATTGCATTTGCGATCATCGAGCTTGGTTAAAAATGTCTTTCCTGACAAGCCTGTTCATTTACGTCTGACCAATATAAATCTTGGTATGGTTTCCCCTAAATCGTGAAATGTGTGTTGTTCTCATATCCAGATCAGTCCAAACTTGGGGATATAATGTGCCTATTTTATGGTCTTTTAGGAAAGCCTTACAAGAGAACGGAGAAAAAGGTGGTAAGTTATCTTTTCGAAGTATATTCTCTCGAAAACTGGCCCTTATATTTCTTGTTTTAATTGGACGATTAGCAGGCACCCGGAACGGTGAATCTAGAACGCAATAACCAGGTAAACTTCTTTTGCGTATGACATGCTCTTGGTTAGTAATGAAGCTTTTTGGGATGGTAAATGTCACTGTTTACCATTGCACAAGAGGCAGTTTAAGAAATTGGTTTAGCCTTTGAAGTCAAGAACCGTTGACCCCCCTCCAGCGCCTTTTTTCTGGGTGTCATAATCGGATTTCTGGTAAAGAATCGTTTTAAGCGCATTTGGGCACCTAGTGCTCCCATGCATGCCCTTTTACCGACTACTTCATGGTCGCTTAAGTATACACACGCTATTGGTGCGATTTTGACTTTGTTTCTTGGTGTCAGAGTAGTGATTTAAAGGGGAGTTAAATTCTTTTGACTGTTCGTGGCTACTTTTGCCCAAAATCCGAGTATTTTGGACTCGCCAGTTCGGCACCATAGGGACGTTTCAAGTGGGCGCTTCTGTGCGTCGAGGTGAAGCTCCTTTAAATGCTCTTGATAGGATAGGCTATGAAGATAGAGGCCTTCGTGCTATCTGTTCAGTGAGCATTTTCTAGCTAGCTGGCGATACCTCAGTAGAAATGAAGTAGGTGATCTGTAGTAGGCACTATGTTGCTGGCAACGTCTACTAACAAGTTATTAGTATAAAGCCTGTTATTGCTTGGGAAAGACGTGAAGCTGTCTGTTTTCTGTCTGTCGTTGTGTAGCCTTGGCGAAGGTTATCGGCATGGAGCGCAGCCTGGTCATCAGGAGTGTGCGGGCAGGGTGTGCGTGTTGGCATCTTTGACACTGGCCTCGTAAACACCAATTTGCACAGTCACTTTCGCAATGCCAACATCAGGGAGCGATCTAACTGGACGTGGCGTCTGAATCGTGACTCTCGGTCGGTAAGTCGATGTGCCTTTCTTTTCAGATGTTTACTCATACTGTTGCTTCTCTTTGCTAAGGACACAAACCCAGGTGCGTTGGACGGCCATGGCCATGGCACTTTCGTGACAGGGTTGATCGCAGCCGCACCATATTTCTCCGCTTCTCCCTCCACCCTTACCTGTCCCACCGCGGGTCTTGCTCCGCGTTCCGAATTGCACATTTTCCGTGTCTTTACCGATACTCAACTCTCCATGACTTCGTGGTTCCTCGATGCCTTCAACTACGCTATCGTGAAGCGCCTCCACGTCATAAATCTCTCGAATGGCGGACCCGATTTCATGGATCAACCCTTTGTGGACAAGGTGAACGAACTCTCAGCTAACGGGATCCTCCTCGTTTCCGCTATTGGTAACGATGGACCCGTGTTTGGCAGCCTCAGCAATCCTGCTGATCTGATGGATGTGCTCGGGGTAGGTGGCGTGGACGCTAATGGCGACATTGCCACTTTCTCTTCCCGTGGAGCTACCGCAATGGTCAGTTGATTTCCACATTATAGTTCTACTCATTCAATTTCAGTTGATGTGGTGTTATTTGTGGTCCATTCACTGCAGGAGATGCAGGATGGCTATGGACGATTCAAGCCGGACGTTGTTGGTTGGGCAACGGGAATTGTTAGTTCAAACCCTGACGGCGGATGCAAAACCCTGTCTGGAACAAGTGCTGTCTCACCTGTTGTAACTGGATCTATCGCTTTGCTTATTAGGTGAGTTGATTGGGTCGCCGGTGGAGTGTAATGGCATGTGGATGGTCAACTTGACGGGGAAGAGGTGGTCATGATTTACTTTAGCGCTGTTTTGTCAGAGAGGCCGTTGGACCAATCACCAATAAATCCAGCGAGTTTAAAACAGGCGATAGCTGCTGGAGCCGATCCTCTGGTTGATTCTGGGGGGAAAAAGAGGTTTTCCATCTTTGAACAAGGCGCCGGACTACTGAATCTGCGGAATTCAATCGATGTAAGTTCTCCTTGTGTTGACTATGTCATGCTATGAGCGGCCTTTCGTGAGTCCTACCTCACCTAATCAGTTATATGATAGCTGGAATCCGTGGTCCTCCATTTTCACATTGTTTGCTAATAAGATCTGTTACGTTGAAGGGTATTGTCATTCGTTTTTGTGCTGGAAGGCTTAGAAGTTGCTTCGTGAGTGGGTACTATTGTCACCCACCTGATGTAGTTATTTTCACTGACTAACCTTCAAGTAGTGCTGAGAGAGCTCGGCCCATCGCTTTTCACTCTTCCTCTATGTTTTTTTGCTCTTCAAAAGATAATGCGTCGATTGAAGCCACAGGCGAGTTTGTGGCCGAGCTACTTGGACTTCACTGAGTGTCCCTACTTCTGGCCCTACTGCAGCCAACCTCTATACGCCTCCGGCCTTCCTATCGTCGTTAACGTGAGTGCCTTCTACTACTTTTCTTTTCCAGTGTTCACTGCACGCTTCTCCTATGTGGGCTGGTTTATCATACCACTTAGTCTGTTTCTCTGTCGTCAAGGCTACTAGCCTACTCATTCTTTTTTCAGTAGTTTAATAAAGGTATTTGAAGGGGTTGGGAGGGTGATCTTGACGATTCAGCCGGGTCAATGGTGTTGGCGTGATTGATAGTTCCATAAAAATTTCGGTGACCGATGCGTTCCGGAAAGTCAGCGCTGCACTGTTAGCTGATTGATGAGTTATAACTTGTGCGAACCTCGATGTACTTCTCGTTTATTGTACCCCCCGCAACAATGTTCAGTACATTCATTTTCGAGGGATTCTACTCATTCTCTGATTACTCGTATTTTGATCGCCAATAGTGCACATTTCCAACAGCACTTGTTGTCAACTTTATGGTATTCTGAACCTATTTTCTCTCTTTACGCTTGGCTACTCATTTAAATAATTGCTGCCGCCATTACAGAGCAACACTTATCCGATGGACCGTTGCTCACTTTTTGATTGACCGAACGGCACCCGCTTCCCCAATATTCGTGTTGTTGTGCCATCCAGTAATGTTGGTTGCTCACTTGCCTGGAAATTTCCCATTTCATTACAATCCGTGTGCAGTTGATATCATGACAATGAAGCACACGGCAGGTTGAAGCGACATGGTTCCCTACTTACTTTGTTTTAGTGCCCGGTTCCATGTTCTACCCTTATTTGGAGTTCACACCGGTGGGCCTAAGTCCGTTTCTCTTGGTTTATGTGGCTAATCCCTTTTCACGCATTCGTAGTCGGGGTTAGCGAGTAAACGAGGCTGCAAAGCTTGCTTCACTTTTACAGCCTACTTCCGAAAACGGTTCGTTTTCCACCAAACCTCTAGAGCCTTTCTCCAACAATATATCCATTTAACGACCAAAACTGCTACCGACTGGATTGGGCATTATTTCCTCTTCTCTGGTCAGTGGTATTTCGAACGATTAAGGAAAGTGCTCTACTAGGGTCTGTTCCGGAGGAGAATTGGTCAATGCAGCGGATCTTTTGTTTTTCTTTTGACATGGCGTCAATGACTTTACTGTCAAAATTGAGGAATCATTGGCCGCGTGACATTTTGACAAGTTGTGATTAGTTTACGCCTCTTTGGTTATTTTACATTCAACAATTCTATTTGCACCACGACCTGATGCCCCCAGCTACCCCTGAACTGATTAAGTCACGTCACAAATATATGACGTCAATGGTGGAAGTGCTAACAGCTGATGTCAGTTAGCTGATTTTTCGAAATGTCTACCTCAATTCCGTGATTAGATGCATCTTCGGCCTCGTTGAAAATGTTTCTATAAGACCAGAGGAAGGTGAATCTTCACAATGCCGCCTAGAGGGCAAGACTAGGTGAAGCGAAGTCTTGTAGAATTGGCGTTTCAGACTCTCCTTAGTCCTCTTAATGGTTGAAGAATTATCCCATGCGGATGTGAGAATAGTTGGTCCCAACTCTTCTTCACCATTTGAATAGGCGAAAATAACTTGATAGACACCAAAGATGTCCAATTCGCATTTTTGGTTAAGATGGTGAGGTCCTGTGACCAAATCTTATTGACGGTTCGAGCAAATCAAACATCCTCCCTTTTTTCTGTTCTTGTCGGACAGGCCTTCTCAAGTAGAAGAAGATCTGAATTGCTTCATTCTTTTCGCCCTATTACACCGAGGAGCGCATTGCAATTACTTGGCGTTAACGATGTGTTAATTGTTCGGAGGAGGACAGACAAGAGGCCTGAACTAGAAAGCAATAAGTTTTTACAATCGGAGGCGTTGTGTGTGGAAGGACAAAAAATTTGTTGCCAGAATTAGTGCAGCTTTTCTCTCTTATTCTTTCGGTTCCCTTCCAACCTCTCCATCATTATCCTCCAGTTTCATCGATGGTATTTTCAGAGGTGAAACCATGAAGACGAGTTTGGCGTGAATGCAGGGAAGCTTGGGAGATGTTTCAAACCAATTGAGGTTTTCTAAACTTCTCAACGACCTGTTTCAGTGACTCAATTATTTCATGCATAAACTAGTCTCTTCACTTTGTTGAGTCCTTCCAAATGTCTGTGAAGTATTATCCACGTTTCCACCATGCATGTAACTTGACATGGCTGATAGCTTGCAGCCCCTCATTGTCCGGTATCTTGATGCCTCTTTAGGCCTTCCATGTGATTGAATAATGATGGGGAATCTCTCATTCAAACCGCTGATGGTGGTTGTCGATACACTTCACTCTCATTGAAGCCGAGACGATTCCTCCTCTGACGCTTGATCTTTTCCTTCAATGAAGGACGTAAAAGTGTCCCGATTTACAAAATCACTGGTAAAAGTGGTCCACCAACATTGTTGAGGTGGTATCCACGTCAGCCTCCCCCCTATGTCGAGTATAACTCGTTCACTTTCACGTAGTTCGTCCATTTCCACTCCCACAGTGGCCAGTCATAGAGAGGTTCGCAGCTTAATAGACAAATTTTTCCCCAATATGAGTAAAAAGTTTGCCTTTACCTTTAACGACTGCATCAGAGATGCGACGATGGCATCTGTAGACTGGTTTCCCTGTCTTCCTTGGTAAAATATTCAAGTAATCGTTGAATGCAACCGATGTAAATATGAAAAACAAAAACATTGCCTTCTTCTACGTTTAAGACGCCAGCAGAAGTGTCAAATCATTCGTCTTCATCAGGTTTCATCAAGTGGTTGCTATGCTACCGGACAAAAAGTGAGGAGTAAAATGTATTGGAGGTAAAGGCTTGAAAGAACAAAGTCCCATTGTTAAAGGCAGAGAAGTGGAAATCATTCCTCTCTTCTAATGCCGTCAAGCGATTTTCCTGTATTAAATCGCTGCAAATACTACTTATTTAGGCAAAAATAGCTTTAAGTAGTATGAGCAGTTTTAAATGAACAAAAGAATCCCATGAAAAGGGGACCGCTATCACTGCAACCTCCTTCTTGCCTTTTTACCTCAATGATTCAATTTACCAAGCAGATTTCCCAACTAGACAACACCTTCTTGG